AGCTGTAAAAAGTGTCTTGGATACAGTCGATACAACATACTTTATAGTGAGCAGTTATACTTTTGTGAAAAATATTATTGTTTATAGTGTGCCGGTTTTGATTTTTTTTCGACAATTAACGAGTACAAGTTAAAAAAATGTTTGTGTACCAAATCTTTGTTATTGCACTATGCTGTCTTCGCTGTTGTCAAACGTTGATCACGTTGGAAACCATTCGGAAATTGCAAACAACCGAGTCGAAATTTATGAGATTGATGTTTTTGGACAATACGTGCTATACTCGAGATAAACCGAACCAGACCGAAGAAGCCCCGCAGAAAAGATGTGTTAGTATCCCGGACGTTCAAGTGGATTATCAACTATTTGGTGTGATACCACCTTTTCCGGTCACTGCGAATCTGAGATATAATATTTGGTTCGCTGGGAATTCGCTGACAACCAATTTACAACCTGTAGAAAGTTTTATGGCCTTTATACGGCAAACTTATAGCAGTCGTGCCGTATATCGACAATTGCACGCAGTGGTGGAGGACTGTGTAAAAGAAGAACGTTACGTCGAGGCATTTATTCGGCTTATGAACGTGGTCGAAAGTGAAGGCATTTCGATGTTGAGTAGGTTATGTCACGTATCAAATAAATTAATAACGAAGAAGGGATGGAAGGCAATTGGTGATCACTTTGATTTGATCAATCTTACAGTAGAAGACATTTACAACAAGTTTACAGCGCATTTTATATCGACTGCGCCGGTGCTTCAAATAGTAGCCGCCATCAACGTAGTAAGGGTAAAAGACGACCACTTGAACGAGCGAAAGGAATTCTTCAAAAATACATGCATGGAGTTTAGTCAACGGTATGGTAACATGATGGACTTGGTGAGTACTGGTGAATATACGGACGTCAAACTTATACCAAATGACTATAAAGCCTGCCAAGAATTAAAACTTATCTTAGACCTTGCAGCCGAGTACTTTAAAAAAGAAACGGACACTGGATCAAGCGGCGTTGGCGAAGTTTATGTACTACATCAACTCCAACGGGAGGTTTAGGCAAAATCAACACACACATTTTTGAACCAATGACTTGAAAAATGTATATAATTAAAGATTGTATATCTACATTATAAAATAATAATATATTATGTTTTACCTTAAAAATTTCCTAAAATATTTGCCGAAAATTTCTTATATGTTATCGAATAATAAAAATGTATGTTATACATTTATCAGCAATTTGAAAATACCTTCCCTGCTTCGTCTCGTTCTTCGAAAATTATAAAATAGTATGATTATAAAAATAAAAATGTATTCAACAATTTGTATATACCTAATATCTGTTTGATTTAAACATGAGAACATAACGTAATGACCCAGAAGGATGGTTCCAAATCCTAAGCATCGCTAACTTTAAAAAGCGTTTGTTGAAATGGCAATAATTTATATTGTATTCTTCCGTCCACTGCAGCGCTGATTGTTCCGGTGAACAGTGTCTATAGTGACAATGTTGACCCGTTCATTTTTATTAGTTTTCTTTTTTTCAGTTATAGACAAACTGCAGTGCCGATATTAAATTGGTCCGATATTTAAAATATTACTATTTGCCATAGAATGCATTTGTAATAAAGGTCTATCTTAGAACTGGTGTATGCAACATAATCTAATACTTTATTTGTATTTAGTTCTACGTGTTACGTTTGAACAGCTGAAGTTGAGTCAATCACGCGCGTTTGACAAAAACAATGCGGTATGGTTTCTGTTGGGTCGTGGATGATGTTTCGAAAATCGCGCCAATACATCCGTCGGCCAGTGAGCTTTGGTTTATATGTATAAACTATATCCATCCTTTTTGGGCGGTTAAACAGCCGGCAAATATACATGGGCACCATTAATATGCCACTACTACTACGGGATTGTAGCCCCAACAGTTTCTCTTACATATATTAGTAAAAAGACTCTATAGAATTAGTCTTTCAGCTTCGATGCGGAGCAGAGAAGGTATTGGTTTTATTATTGATTTTTAACTTTTTTAATACTGGACCAATTCCTTCGAGTAGAGCAACTCTATAAATCACAAATTTTATCTAGTTGGTACTTTGGGGGATGGGGGGGGGGTAAAAGTTGAAAACGTTTACTTCTTTACAGTTAAAATTTGAAAAAAACAACTGGATATCCAAGTCCCAATATTTGAAAAATACCCGTACAAACGTACGTTTAAAGAAAATCATTAAAAAAAGTCATTAAACATTACATTAAAGATCTGGGTTTCGTATATGATTTCACGAAGTAGAAACTACAAAATATATTATACGTGCAGTTATACAAAGTTAATGTTAACAGTTCTAATAGATTTCCAGAAAATCTACACTCTATTATTCTAATAATTTTCATTCTGTCTAGTGCCATCGAAGTTAATGATCCAATAACATTCTAGATAATAAAACCTATTTTTTAATTTAAGCCATTTTTAGTGTTCAATTACATACAAAAGACAACATAATTTCTCGTACACACAAACAATATATTGGAGTTTTAATGAAATAAAAACCGTAGTAAACTCAAATAAATATACATAAACTATAATATCATGATATTTTGGACTTACAAGAAAATCACTTTGAGCATCAGTTAGACAGTTACCAAATAAACACCATTAGGATGACAATTTCCCTTCCGACCTGATCTTATCACGTGTATTTTAAATAATCTAACTTAGACGATTTGCTTATTTGTTTACCATAACTTGTTTAAGAAAATGAAACGAATTACCAGCTAGAAAGAATTCTAAAAAACATTCTATTAACAGCGTTACTATTTTTTTATTACCGTATCCACGTGTAAAACTCTCTATTACTGATTCTCAGTTAATTTTTGCGTTTAACTTTAAACTTCTTGTATAACTATTAATCATATTGATAATTGATAATCATTCATTTTAAAAATGGAAGCTTCGATTGGTGTTTACTTGTACTGGGTACGTCGATTCTAAAATATAATTACGCCGTTGCAGATTGTTTTTAGTTTTGGCTATTTAAAACAAAAATTAGTAGTCAGTTTTTTTTTAATTTAATTTTTAAGTTTCATTAATATTCTTTTATTAATTAACCTATCATAAATTATAATTTTAATCTTGTACCCTCACATAACACCTGATAAATTTTTATAAAAAATAATTTTTTGAAATATTGTATTATGTTTAAATAAAAATAAGCAAATATAATTTTATTTAGGCACCGTTCCAAATAGTTTATTTGATTTGATATTTTTGTCAGTTTTTGTTTGATTTGAAAATTAAAAATAACTGAAAAACCAAATTATTCGTTATTTAAATCAGTAAAAACTATAAATATTTTGATTTGCAATTTCATTCGATTATTGTATTTTATTTAATTCTTGAAAAAGGATAAATTTGTATTTTTATTATTTTTTTGAATTTAGATATTTAAAAAAATTATTAGATCTGTCACCTTAGATACATTAAACTACATAATTTAATCGAATGATATTATGATACATTTATTACATACACAGTAATAACTTATTTATTTAATGATTTTTTTTTATATTTATTTCGCCTTGCACATCACAAAATGGACAGGTATGTTGGCGACTTGTGACCAATATTTATTTAAAATAATGTTAGAAAAAGAAAACAAAACTGTTTCAATTATATTTTATTTGCTTCATTGCAGAGCTGAAAGGTGTTGGCTTTACAATGAATTAACTATTTTTTTGCGTGTTTATGGACTCAAAATGTACTTAAATTTTAAAAAAATGTACTTCAAGGCACTTTTCTTTAAAAAAAACGAGGAGGCGATAGCCGGTAGCTCGACCGGTGGATTCCAATGTTGTAAGCCAGCAGGCTTTATTTGAACGCCGTGGTCGTGTTTTTTGTACTGATTTGACTTTATTTTGAACTTTGAAGCATTTTAGCTTAGAACTCTTTTTTAATATAATAACGGACTTAAGATCCCTTAGCTGTGTTGAAACACTTCCCTTTTTCTACTTAACGACCATTTACACAGAATTAACGAAGTTGTTTTGTTTCACTAGAATTTACATAATATATTTTACAATAACAGAAAATTAATATGTCTGAGTCACTTCACCTTGTTCCCAATAGAATAATAAAGTATAATTTTTATAGTTTGTAATGCATATTACATAATTTTATAAGGATGTTGGGTACCCACTATAATGTATAGGTACAGTAAAACTGTAACATTGTATAATAATGTTTTGTACTCGTATTTTATAATCTACAAGCTGTCCGGACCCGGCGTTTCCCGAGATTTAGTCTGCCAGGGCTGAGTAAAATAATTCCTAGTTATGGACTTAGTTATGGATGCAATGTCCATAAAATAACAAGTAGATAATTTGAGACAAAAAAAGTACATCAGAAGGATCAGAAACCGCTGCTACTGAAGCATTAGTGTTTATGCTTGTGCGTCTACATGCAAACAGAAAATACCAGTTGGTTATGTTTTTCAGAATAAACTCAGTGCTATGTGTCAATCTCAATTAATCAAAGCTGTACTTAACTTAGCTCATAGCTCTGACTTACGTATATGGGAAGTGACATTTTATGGAGCAGTTACTAATTTTACATCATTTAAAATGTTGGGTATGTTTGGAACTGATATTATAGTTTAAAAAAAAATTATTTAAAAATTCTTACCTAGTCGGCTATCTAGTTGTAATATAATATGTCTGTGGTTGTAGATGCGAGTCATGGTATATTATGCCGCAGAATAAGAAAACGTAGTGACTGGATAATTGTATACAGGTAATAGTATTAAGGGTTATATCATTTATATGTTTACATGTACAGGTGTATCGGGTATACAGGAGGTTAAATCTTGAAGGAATATGTTTTTTTTTTTAATTTTTTGATATATTAATCAGCTCCGCATAGAAGCTTAATATATTTATTCAACAGACAACGAGTTGTTTAACATGTTTATAATGTTTTAATGTTTAAATATAACATTTACAAATCACACAAATAGTACAGTACCTAGTCGATAAACACAAAAATAACCCTTAAACTTTTTAGAATTTTAAGAAAACATACAGTTAAAATTAAATAAGCTACCAGCATACTACCCCTAAAGAGATAAATTAAATACTTTAAGTAGGCAGTTTAGATTTTTGATTATAGTGAACGTCGGTAGGATAGTATAGTAATTTTGTAGCCCTGAAATTTTGATAAAAAATAAAATAAATTTACAATGTGATAATAATTCAGTATATGTAAAACGTCGTAATAATCGTCTTAACAAAAGCATGTTTACTCTTTCTGAGCATATTGATTTTTGATTTTTTTGATATTTTATATCCCGACAATATTTTGTATGCGATTATCGTAGCCAAAGATTAGTAGGTAAAATGTGTATAATGGTCGTTGAAATTTTGTTTGTAATTTAGCACTAAATTTAGTTTTTATTCAAAAAAACATCTGCTCTAGGTACGTAGGTACCTACTGTTCCCCAAAATAGTGTAGCTGAGAAGGTATATTGTTTTTACAATGATATTATTATTTTTTTGTGCATAAACTCATGGCATATTCTAAAACTCTACACAGATTTCATTACGTGGCATTTAGAAAAAGTTCATTCTTCCCCCTTAAAAATTGATAAAAACATCCAAATATTGTACACATTTTAATAACTTAAAATTAGGACGCTCTACGACTTTTATACAATTCGTTTTTTTAAGTTTTTTATGGTATAAATTCATTAGATAATGTACTATCGAAACATTGACAAACCAACAAATATCAAAAGGCCTTTCCCACCAAAAGGGGTAGATAAATATTAATATTTCTTCTCTTTCTGGGTGTAAACCTCCCCTCCCCCCACTTAATGTGCCCCGTCTCCATTATGCCTGATCCCACTGTACTGGATTTTTAAAATATGTCGCAATTTTCATTTTAAGTTATCATATTAATAAAAAAGAAAACCATACTTTATAACGAAACGAAAAATGTACTGGTAAAAGGGTGAAATAATTACTCGCCTAGAGGCGGTAAAGTTTTTAACTCACCACTGGCTGGTTCTGTAGCGTCCACATTATTTAAACATTATTCAATCATTATTTCCACATAATAGTTGTCTTGAGATCTCATCAATTTTTTAAATTTCTTTCTTGTCATATGTTTATCTAGAAATCATTATAAAAGTATTCACTTTATAAATTACAAAAGTGTATTGGTTAACCTGTAACGAATGGACTGTTTATAATATTATTATTATTACGTTTATATATTATTACGTTATAACTTATATTATTATATACTTTACAACATCTATTACTGAATTATTATACAATTTAACGTACCCCGCAAGGGTGCAATTATCCCTTCGACTTGCCGTGCAGCTAATCCATGATTGTGGAGTTCCTTATTGAAGTATTTTCTCGCTCCATCCTTGGTTACTTTTTTTGTTACGCTCGTGCGACACCGCTTTTTTTCCACAATTGTTTCCCTTCTTTTAATCACATCATAAATTGCGTTGAGTTCCTTAAATCATAACATTCTTATTTTTAAAACATAATATGAATATTCCTGTTATAGAAAGAATGCCACAATAATTCACTAGGTTTATAGAGTATTTTTTTTTTCTCTAATGAATCATATATTTAGATAGAAAAAAATTCAAATTACCCCATCAGTAAATCTCTGATTCATTGCTGATTGAAATGCCTTTAAAGACATATGATGAGCTAGAAATTATTATAAAGGTATTTGCATTAAAATTTACCACATTATATTTCTGTTGCGGCGAGTTGATTGATTGCAATTAATATTATTGCGTTTTTATGTACAATAATTGGCCATAACGTGTGTTGCCAAAAGCCATCTAAAATCATCATATTGTTGGTTCATTTGTTTAGTTTTTTCAAAAATTTATATAAAATTGCTAGAGGAATGTCGTAAAATTAATATTTCAATATTAATTACAATTATTAGTCCAACCATATAAAATTATATTTACAAAACTTCAGCGTGATAGTATAAGTACTCCTCAGAAATCTTGTAAAAAAACATACTATCGATAACAACATCAATGTGATTATTGGTTATTTACATTTCACATATTATATATTTTACAATACTCATTACTGAATTATTATTATTCAACTTACGCCCCATACGTAGTATTATGTTGTGGACATCTTCTCCATCTAGGTTAGGCTTGTCTTCATCAAGGTATTTTCGTACTGTAGTTAAGGTAAAGCTTCCTCGTATAAATGGCTGTTTATAACAGTCAGCTAATCTTTGCCTGTTTTTTTTATCTTTAAGTGTTACCTTGTTATAAAAGTCGGCGAGTTCCTAAAAATATTACATTTTTATTTTTAATATAGGTACTATGTGAATTATAATACTATTATAGAAAAAATTCGAATTACCTCAGTAGTAAGTGTTGCATTACTTACTAGTAAGTAAAATAACATGTATAAAAAGATAATAATATATTTGAAATACATGATTAAATTATGTGAGAAACGTATAACACTTGATATTTTGCAGGGATTTAAGACTTTAGTGATTCTTATTCTTTATATTGGCTACTGTTATTGCGATTTCAGCATACAACTTAATAAATATATATATATATATAGTTTGTTCAACATATGTTCATAATATACGTATAATATTTGAAGCTGTGAATCATAAATAAACAGTAGTGGCTTGGCCGTTTGACAAACACAAAATATGTTCCTATTACCTGTTTAAACAACCATCTTATAAAAAAATAATATTTTTTAGCTTTTTGTACACTAACCGTTTTGTTTCATCGAGGTAGTACGTTAAGAACGAAACTACGTCATACTCTCTCTATTCAAGTGTACCTAACACTTTTAAAGAAACAATTTTTTATTCGTAAATTACACTTTAAATTGTACATAAATTCTATCGTATATTTATTAACTTAGACGCCTAAAATTAAAATTAAAAAAAAAAAATTTCAAAAATGTATTTTAGTGGGTATACCGGGTGCCTATTTTAACCACTAGTTTACCCTTAAAATGATTGCAATCATGTAGTGTTTCTTTTGGAAAATATTCTTATTTATGATTTAGTACAATATTCAGACAATATTAAAATTATTGTTATTCAAGTTATTCAAGTTTAAAATTTAGAACGGGAGGTGGAGTTGAGTGTGGTTGAAAAATGCGTGCAGATAAAAATAAACTCTACTCTCAATTGTAAAATTTAGAGCTTAACATTTACCGAAATAATTTTAAAAAGTTCCCACTATAAGTACTCATTAAAATCGAGTAATACAAACTAAATTATGACAAACATGTAATTTAATATGTAATTAAATTAAAAGTGTTTAAGGTTGAAAAAATATTATGTAAACGTGTTGAAGATATTCTCGATTTTAAAGAGGAACTGTTCGAACTTTGGCAACATTTGGCCCACAGAATTACTATTTAGCTCAGATATCTAATCTACAAATTTAGTACATAAAGGAGTTACATGCAGCTCAACGTCGACGCTAATAAATAAAAAAATATATTTATTTTTTTGTATAATAAAAATAAAAATTGCAATCTCATCAATAGGTAATAGCATTATTATTGGTAGGTAGTTTTAAGATAAGAATTTATTTGTGATCTATTGTTAAAGACAATAAAAATTGGAATTGTCCATGGATGTATTCCAATAGGCATTCTAAGTAAATTATTCTTAATTTAAAAAGCTAAATAAATATTTATGTTGTCATTTAAGTTTTATAAGTTAATATAACTCAAGAAAATACTAAAAAAGATATTTTTTTTAATATTGTCTAATAAACATAACCGAAAAATGTTTCCAAAAAGTATCACTGCAAAGTTGCAATTTTTTAAAAGTAGTAAAACTAGTGTAGGGCGTTAAAAGAATCCCCTGATATTCATAATTCATACACAAGTCTTCATAAATATAAGCCTAGTAAGTGAGCAACAAAAAACAAAATATGTTTTTATGGTTAATATTATAATTTCTAAAAAAAAACACACAATATAATATGTTTGCATCGTTTGTGCGTCATTTATAGGTGTTGTTTTAAATTATTATTGTAGCGCCTAAAATCCAATACTGTGTATTTGATCAGAGGCCCTATCATATTGGCAAATATATTATATAATATTATTGTGGTCGTGGTTACAGGAATCCTGCATTACAAAAATATTCAAAATTAACATGGCAATCAGTGTATTAATCAATAAAGGTTTTTAGAACTTGCTATTGTCCATGTGAACCGTTAGGCGACTGACTTTAATAGAATATTACCAGCGGTAAATTATAATACGACAGTTAGGTTAGTACTACCCTAAGGACTGTAACGACACATAATGTGTATAGAAATATGTATAAATATAAATCGCAATTGTCTTTTAAAAATACTGTTTTTGTTGATTGACAAATTGGTGTCCAGCATTATTTCACCATTGACCTCAAGTTTATCAGAAATGATAAAAGTTATATTTTATAAATTGTAATATTTGACAATAAAAATATTGATAAATTGATTATACAACGGTAATATGTATGTTTAAAATGTTTAGCTTAATGTTAAGTTTTAGCAAAATATAATTTATTAACTATTGGTTATTTGCCTATACAATGCGCCTTAATTAATGCTAGTATAGAGGCCCCTTGAGAACAATTTGCTGAGAATGTTGACTGGTCGATAATCAGTTTTGAAGGGTTACTTTTTAAGTTTTTAAAGGTTAAAATTTAAGTCGAGAGGTTGAGTGCGGTAGAGTAATTTTTATTTGAAAGCATTACACTTACCTACCGCATTCCACCTGCTGTCCTAAACCTAAAATTTAAATAACTTTAAAAGTAATTATCCAAAATTGGCTGTCGACCAGTCAAAATTCTCAGAAAATTATTCATAACAAAATGGCTGTATTTAAATACTTACCGCTAAGCCACATTATCTTATGTAGCTGCGTGTTTGTCAAACATTTTTTGAGTATCATATTCTTTAAAATATATATTCATACAGACTTTGTTAAATAGATATATTATCGCCAAATTTCATAAAATTCATCTATGATGTCCTACTCCTGTTATTTGTTGATTCAAGTTATGGAACAAAAAAGCTATACATTACAATTTATAACAAAATTCAACATAGTAAGAAATATGCAGAATATATTAAATTTAAGTAAATACAGATTTTTTATTTTTATTACAATATTTTTCTAAACAGGTATTTATTATTTTGTAAAAACACATAATTTAGGTTTACCTGAAGTATATATTTCTTTTAGTGTAAAAATAAAAAAAAAAAACCTTACATTAATTGTTTATAGTTAATACTGTCATGGCTTAGATGTAGTTTAATAGTTCAATTATAACTATTATTCACTATTACATCCACAATTTTCTCTCTAAATGTTTTTAATGTGCCTTAACCCGATAATTATCGTGTTTGAAACAGTCTTCATTAAAGCCCATCAACATTTTTCTATTCAAGTTATTGAAAAATATAAATATTGGTATTTAGTTATTTTAGAATATTTTCTGTACTACAAAGTAAATTTCTAATAAATCACTAATTCTATTGAATTGTTTGCTATTATAATAAATTGTGGCTTTTACATTTATATTCAATTTGTGATTTTTATTTTTATTTAATGCTTTTCTTTAACTCGATAACACGTACGTACGTTTGTACGGATATTTTTCAAATCTTCCAAAATGAATTTATTAATCTATTCACCAATTATTAAGTACCTTTAATATAGCTAAAAAGTAAAAAATAAAATAAATAAATAAAAAAACTTTTTTAAAATCATGATTTTCCAAAAAATAGGTAAAAGTAACATAAAAGTTGAAAGGCTAAAAAGTAAAAATCTTTAATTTTTGACTAAAAAGAAAAGCGTGGGCCCTATTCAACAAAGTCCAAATTCATAGAGTTAAGTATTATGAAATGTATGTGTCACACACTAATATTGAACCAATTTAAATTACAAACAAACTTACAATATAAAACATTGTCTGATAAATTCAATGAGGAACTTTGTTGAATAAGGCTTTTCTTTTTAGTCAAAAATTAAAGTTGTTTAACATTATTTAAAATTGCAGTTAATTTTCGGTTGTTTTCAAAGTAATTGAAATTTTAAATAATATGTGCTACAATTTATCGGTAAATTGTTCTTGTAATAAAATTTATTTTTACTTTTTAGCTCACTTTTAACTATTTTTTAGAAAAGCATGTTTTTAAAAAAGTTTTTTTTACATTTATTTTCTACTAAACGACCATTTACAGCGAGTTTTACGCGTGTTTTTGTTGAACTAGAATATATATTTTAAAATAATAAAAAATTAATACGTCTGAGACATTTCACCTTGTTCCTAAGTGGGAAAGAAAACATTATTTTCATAATCTGTAATGCATATATATATATATATATATATATATATATATATATATATATATAACAGCCTCTATATTCAACTTGATAACTTCTTTTTTAAAAGACAAACAATTTTGTATTTCTTAAAAACTAAAATTAATTCAAGGGAGTAAAGTGTTGAATGTAGTAATGAGTGTAAATGCACGAGGTAGTGCAAGGAGTACCTGAAAAAGAGTAAATTTTGATCGGTGGTGATATAAATGAACATTTAGGGAGTGATTGGACGAGTGGAGGAAATAAATCATAAATTCATTGTTTAATGTGGAGGAGAGAGAGTATAAAGCAGTGTAAGGATAGTAAAATAATTCCAGGTGACAGAGAGTGAACAAGAGGAAAGAGCTAATAAATAAAATGCCAAAAATTAAATGGTGGAAGTTAACGGATGAAAAATGTCGTTGAGATGACATTATGTTAAAATAATTTATTTTTAATTACAATTATAAATCTATTAGTTATTCCATTGATTTTTTCCTAATAGACAAAAAACATTTCTTATAGAGTTATGTCTTTAATATCACACATTGTGTAGTTAATGCTCCAATGTATAAAAACCAAGGAATGAGATTATAACAATATACACATTTTATAGATCTTTTCACAAACTAACCCCTGTGGGTTGGGGTTTATTTATTACAAGTAATTGAAAGAAGTCTTTTTTGCATCATTTAACCTGTCTATGGATTTAAAATATATACATGAATACATATTTATTATATATTTAATTGTATAAAAAACTATGTTTTCAGCAGAGCCAAGCAGTTTAAATACTTAGGGTTAGTACTAACTGAAAAGAATGATATAGATAAGGAAATTTCATATAAAATATGGTGTTCTACTATTAGCTAATCCATCTTGACTAAAACAATTATTATTAAAAAAAAAAAAAATTATTCAAAATGTAATTTAAGTACCATACTTTTCTATTAAAACAAATTACATAATCTAAATTGTAGTTATAGTAAAATGATTATCGGCACCGGTCCAAGGTACGACTCATTATTGTCCAATGTGCGACCAACACTTTTTTATGAACACTTAGACTTGGACCGGTGCCTGAGTATCTTACTAATATCATACCTCAATAGTATTGAATTTGGCTCTCCTTGATTTTTGAGGTGAATAGCCTGCTAATTTGTGTATTAAAGTTTTCTCAACAATGTCATTAGCATTGAAATGTAATGAACATACAAAAGCTACAACACCAACTCCTTTTATCTCGAGAAAAACTAAATATTTAATATCTGTTACCTTTATCTACATTTAATAGGTTTATTACTTTGAATTTGCAAAACCCATTTTTTTTTTCCTCATTTTTAGGAAATTTGTGAAGATGGATGTGTGGATTTTTGTTGAGACCTTTGCGCCTACTGCCACTTAAACATCCATCAAAAACACAAAGAGGCATTTTAAATTATATTTAAATAAACAAAATAAATATACTCTTTATACAGTCTTATTAGTTAATTATTCTCTTCTTTAGTTCTATTTATTATATACATCATTTACAAACTAAAGTTTTGGCGGGCATATAATTTCCTGATAAGATATAATTTATAGCCAATCACAGGCGGATAAAAGCTGTCGCCATTTCTGCGCATTCGATTCATAAACTCGTATTTTGACATCATACCTATCTATTTTGTCATGGGTAATAGTATTAAGAAATATATCACGGAGGTTTACATGTACAGGTATCCGGGTATACAGGTGAAATCTTTTAAGGAATATATTCTTTTTAAATTTGTTATACATGTTCATAATATTATTAAAACTAACCTGTGTCACTTAAGGTTAGCTTGTATATTTAATCGACAAAAAACGAGTAATTTAACATTTTTAAAAAATGTTAATGTTTAAATATAACAATTACAAATCACACAAATAGTATAGTATGAGATTAAACCAAAATAAACCCACACCCCCTTTAGAATTTAAAGTTAAAATTAAAATTAAATAAGCTAACGGCATACTACCTCTACATATTTTTTAGGAGATAAATTAAAAAATACTTAAAATAGTTTGGATTTTTGAATATAGTAAACGACGGTAGTATGTTATAGTAATTTTGTAGCTCTGAAATATTGTTAAGAAAAATAAAAAATAAATTTACAGTGTGATAATAATTCGTCTGTGGGGGAAGTCACCGTCTTCAGGAAGATTTATTGTTATATCTAAAAGTGATAAATTTACTCCATAAACAAAAAAAAAATGCTTTAGAAAACGGTAATGTGCACAAAATTGTACCTATTACGTTTAGTGTTTGTCGTTTCTCTACAATTATTGTCTATTGTGACCAATATATTATCGTAAATAATTTATAATATCATATTGAAACTATTTCTCAAATACCTTAAGTATACTCTAACAAAACTACCTAACATTTTACCACGGTTTAAGGATAATTTAATCACTTTTCTCTTTAGACTTTAAAGCCCAACTCAATACTCGGTCAAATTCAGAAAAATTAAATTAAACAAAAGCATGTTTACTCTTTCTGAGCTTATTGGTGTTTTAATTTGTTTGATATTTTATAACCCGACAATATTTTGTATGCCATTTTCGTAGCCATAGATTAGTAGGTAAAATGTGTATAATGGTCGTTGAAATTTTGTTTATATTTTAACATCAAATTTAGTTTTTATTAAATACATATCAGCTGTACATACTGTTCCACAACGTATTGTATAACTGAGAATGTATATTGTTTTTACAATGATTCATACACATGTTTCACTTGTTGTCTTGAGATCTCATTAATCTTTTAAATTCCGTTCTTGTCATATGGTCATCTAGAAATCATTAAAAAAATATTCATGTTATAAACTACCAAACTATAATAACCTGTAACGAATGGACTGGTTATAATATAATTATTATTATTACGTTTTTATGTACAATACTTGGCCATAACAACATCATTGTACAACATCAAAGTGATTTTTAGTTTTTCAAATTTCACATATTATTATATATTTTACAGCATCTATTACTGAATTATTATTATTCAACTTACCCTTCAAGGATTTAAGTATCCCTTCGATTTCCCATATATCTAGTCCATAATTGTTGAGTTCCTTATTGAAATACTTTCTCACTCCATCTTTGGTTACATTTTTAGTTGTTCTCGAGCCAAACCGCGTTTTTTCCACAATTTTTTCCCTTTTTTTAACCACATTATAAATTTTGTTGAGTTCCTTAAATCATAACATTTTTATTTTTAAAACACAATATGAATACTCCTATTATAGAAAGAATGTGACTATTATTCACTAGGTTTATAGAGTATTTTTTTTTCTGTAATGAATCATATATTTAGATAGAAAAAAATTCAAATTACCCCATTAGTAAATTTCTGTTTCATTGTTGATTGAAATGCCTTTAATGACATGTGATAAGCTAAAAATGATTATAGAGTTGTTTGCATTAAAATTTACCAAACTATATTAGGTATGTTGTAACGAGTTGATTGATTGCAATTAATATTATTGCGTTTTTATGTACAATATGTGACCATAACGGGTATTGCCAAAAGCAATCTAAAAACGACAATTTTGTTGGTTCGCTTGTTTAATTTTTAAATAATGTATAAAAAATTACTAGAGAAATGTCGTAAAATTAATATGTCAATATTAATTACAATTATTAGACTAGCCATTTAATATTATCTTTACAAAACTTCAGCGTGATAGTATAAGTACTCCTCAGAAATGTTGTAAAAAAATTTTCTATCGATAATAACATCAATGAGACTATTGGTTATTTACATTTCACATATTATATATTTTACAATACCATCACTGAATTATTATTATTCAACGTACGCCGCATATGTCGTATTATCTTGTTGACATCTTCTCTATCTAGGTTAGGCTTGTCTTCGTCAAGGTATCTTCGTACTGAAGCTAAGGTAAATGATCCTTGTTTAAATGGCTGCAAACAATTTAAACCTTTTGTTTTCATGCGTTTTGTATCTTTTTTTTGTACCGCTTTATAAAATTCGTCGAGTTCCTAATATCATTACAATTTTTTTTTGAATACACTATGTGAATATTAATATTAAAGAAATAATGTGTCTCAAATTATTAATAGTAAAATATTCCCTAGCTCTTAGAGCATTGTTTTTTCTTTCTAATAAATCAAATATTTAACTAAAAAAAAATCAAATTACCTCATCACTAAGTACTGCATTAGCTACTAGAAAATAAAAAGCAATGTAAATAATAATAATAATATACTTAAAATACATGATTAAATTTTGTTGAACTCGTAAGATACTTGATGTTTTGCAGGGATTTAAAACTTTAATGATTCTTATTCTTTTAAATGGCCGCTGTTATTGCGTTTTTAGCGTAAAATATATATATATATATATTTTTTTTTTGTTCAATAATAATCGAGGCCGTGTATCATAAACAGTACTTGTTTTGCCGTTTGACGAACACAACAATTTTTCTTGTCACCTGTTTACACTACCGACTTATGACAAAATGATAGTTTTTAGCTTTTTGTACCCCAAACGTTTTATAGAAAAGCGATTTTCTTCAAATCATTACCATCTTAGTACTTATATTTTGGACGTTTTATTATTTGCATTAGGTTTCTTTCATATAATTTCACTAGTGAACTTACCCAAGTTTTGTTAGGAATTGTTGATTTTATTTTCACTGTTGTTAAACTCTTTTTTTTTTTTTTTTTAACGAATGAAGCAAGATTTAAACCATATGAAAGAAACAACAAAGAATTATCGCCTACATAGTTTGTATTATAGTTTAGCCGATTTACAATGTAGCCTCGAAAACTGATTGCCAAAACCAACTGTTTTGAAATTATCTATTAACAAAAGATTAGGTGGTGGACGATTTCATTTCAATAGATATTTTTGTTCGTATGTTATTCTGTGGAAATTTTTTAATAATAATACGTTCGACAAGATTTTTGTTTTTTACATTAATAAAATTAATATTATGCGCCTTACTATTTTTAATGAAACCCGTTTCAATACCGCCTATATCTTGCTGCTTATTCTCCCCGACTGCCTCCGCCAAGTCCACTGATAACATTACAAGTTATAGTTGAACAGTCAGTCGACTTTATCTGCTATTATCTACAAAGATATGGACTGATAGTAGAGAGATTGATAAACGTACCCGCGTTTGAATAGTTAACTACACTGTATATCTACCTCCAGTCGACAGCTTCTAACGTGCCCCCAGCTGTTATCAGTTATGGTACACGTCACAATATATTATTATCAAATTGTAGCATACGGGTGCCGCACAACAACAGATTATACGTTATAATAATATTATTGTTTACGTCCCTTCAGAAAGTGAGGTTAGATTAGGGTGCGTTCTACAAGGCGTCGTAGTAAGCGGTAATATTGTTGTTTGCTCAGCGTTCACACAGAGTCAAAATAAAAAAATCGCGCCGCCTTTTGAAATTCGATTACTACGATTCTAAAACCCTTCTTCGCGGTTCACCGCGAGCGAGATATAATTGTAAAAAAAACCCCCGATACATCTATAAGCTGATATTATATTACTGTAGCGGTCATTGTCGTAATGAGTTTCAGCTGGGCCGGATAATACATATTTTCTATCCAGTGTTTACTTAATAAATTAACCATAGTTATAGATTACATTAAAGCGTTAAAATGTTCAATGAGAAACAAATCTCGGATTAATCGACGAGGCTTTTAACTTGGCATGCATTTTTAATGTTGATACAGAATTAATTAAATAAATACCAAAAGAGTCTAAATGACAACGTACACGGTACGAACTATGCACATAAACGTGCAAATATTGGAATTGCATTTTTGCAAACAAAAAAAATATGACAGACTACCGACGCACTACTGCCGACCGTGAGTGAATTATATTTATTTGTAATATTTTAGTAATACATTAGCTATTAAATGACACGAAAATCGATTGTTTTAAAAAAACCTTGAAAAAAATGAATAAATATTAATTTTGTGTCTCGAGAATGTCCTTTAAAATCCATTAAAACGTGTGGCCGACAATAATGGCAAACATAGATCTAAGTATGTAAGTAATGTGGGAAAATCAACTTTACCAAAAAAGCAATTTTATTTCAACCACAAATACCGAATTATATTTTTTCTCCTTTTAAATGTCAATAAGTGACTAATTGAACGCAAAACAAAATGTATTAATGATATATTGCTATTGTTTACACACCTAATAGATATTAGATATAATTTAACACAAGAACTATCTTGTTTCATTCAGAATTTGTGGTTTTCAGAAACAACCCTCCTATTTATTTGTAAACTGTGTTATATTGTACTCGAGATGAAAATAAGTAAATTATTATTATTATTTAAGTACAACTTACAATATAGGTACACATATGACATATTATAACAATTGATAAAATTAAAAAACCTATGACCAAACCACTACCAAATGAATACCTGTTAGCTTTGTTTTTATGTACAACTTATCTTTATTGGTGTAACTACAAGCTCTACAAAATAATATTGTGGTAATTAATTGGTAATATTTTCCAGAGGGAACACTAACATATTTAAGTCACGTCACACCACAAAAGAGGGAATACTTAGAACGTGTTCTTCGTTTGCATAATGTTTTAAATTCTTATTTTTTTTTTTATCATACACAAACTAACCAGAGCAATAATAGTGAATGGCAGCCAAATGTGATTCAGTTGTGTGCAGAAGTACATATAATAACGACAGACCTTATAAGGTCTGTAAGCACAACAAAAATTGTCGAGTTCCTACGAATTGCGTTTATAATACAATTACCATACCATTGTATTGTTATTGTTATTATTCGTCTGCGTGGGAATCATTTATTGTAGCAACTGTTTTTTTTTTTTTTAATAAATAAAATGTCTTGGGCGTGAGATTGCGTCGTTTAAGATAAGAGTTAACTTGTACAATTTTAGCTTTGACTTGCGCTTATTTTAAATCTATAGGCTCGCATTAGAGTAAGTATAATTTAAACAAATTGGGTTTATAAATGATAGCAAAAGAGATAAATTTTTTAAAATTTTTTATAAAGGGGCTTTTGACATAATATTAACTGTCTAACACGGGCATACTAAATTGACGGTTACGAATTGTGTTTATATAGTTACTATAGTATCAGATATATATAAAAGACTATGTTTTTTTTTTTTTGTAAATCATTATTGTGTGTGTGTGTGTGGGACCGGTGTTTGTTTAAAGTCAAATAAAAGGTATGCGGCGTGGGATTGCGTCGCGCCGTCCGGCTCTGTTCGATAAGAGTTTATTTGTTATACAATACATATTTGTTTTTATACTGATGACGTTACCTAGACGTGTTGACTTTACGATTTCGTTTTTTATACTCAACTTTGCCACTCGACAGCGTTTCTAATATCGAGCAAAACGACTATAATATTGATAATTGTTTTTATGTTTTTTTTTTATCGATGGCGTTACGGCAACAGCTGCTCTCTGCTATAGCTGGTGTTGGAGGTAGACTTTACGATTTCGGTTTATTCAACTCACCTTTGCCACACGACAGACACGATACGGAGCAAAACGACTGTATTATATTGATAATTTTTTTGTTTTCAAGTTTTTTCACCATCGCTGATCGCCATCGATCGCGTTACGGCTCTCTCGGCAGACGCTGCCGGCGGAGGCGGTTGCTGTTATCACTGGATCGCGGACCGCGGTTTGTTGTTAACGTTGCGAACGTGATAACGGTTATCATATACGATGCAACGTTATCACGATGAAAACACGACGGTCGGGCTGGGTACTGCGGCCGCGGGCTACGGCTGCAATAACGTGGGCATGACCTCATGAGAAGCACGTTGTTTTGTTGTTTTTTTTTTTTTTTATTTCTCCTTTGCCCGTGGGCCGTGTTTCCTTGTCGAGCGTGTCGTGCTGTGCTGTGTTGGCCGGACATCCGTGATGTATGCGTTTTGCGTGCGGTGTCTCATACGCAGTAAACAGTGACGACGACTGCAGCCTAGTGGACGGGAAAAAAACCACCAACTGCGGCGACAATCCAATACACTACTAGTAGGTGTAATAATAATATCGTTATTATTATCATTACTATGTGTACAACGTAATAACGCAGTTTCGGCGGAAAAAAAAATGCCATCTCACCGGTATCGGACCGTCTGATCCGCGCATCGGGCGACTAGCCGTCTTCTACGGCACCCATGGACCGACAGGACAGCATAATGGACAAAAACGTCGTGTCCGAAGACGACATCAGCGCGTTGATCGGGAATTTTGCCAAGGAAACGTTCAAGTGCACCAACAGCGATCCGTTTGTAAGTTAACCATTCGTATTGGTTCTGATTACCAGCTTAAGTATAAAATCTCTTTAACACCTATACCTACAATCCTTACTCGCCTCTTCAAACGTGGTTACACTTCTAATATCTACTCTCGAAATATATCGTAAGACGTTTGTGTCCACTGAAGCCCCTATGGAGACAAGATCGCACACAGTGCTCTTCCCTTATGGGTACAGATTTGTGTGTTTTATTTTTATAACTGTAGTCAATTGACTATTGAATATATTGTTTTTGTCTTGTCAGGTGTTTCAACACTTTGTATTTCAAATAGTAAACTTTTTAAACTCTAACCACTTATCAATATGACCTTTGTATATGACCCAACCAATGATCTTCAACCAACATGTTCCTGATATGAGTGTTTTTTTTTTTGTAATCTAGTTACATTGCATAAAATATGCATGTTTTTTTATTACATAGTAATAACACATGATAATTTGTCAAATGTCATTTGAGTTAACGAAGTTTTCTTTTTTTTCTAATATAATATATGAACTAAAACTATAAATGTTAATTTATAAATTAAAAAAAAATGTATTGCCGTGCTCTTATCATTTGCTAATGGTTTTAACTTTTGGTTAAAACTAATAACTATTTTTATTATCATTACCTTGACTCCAGGCTCGTTTTAATATTAACATCTTCAAATACATACTAGATATAGATATATAATATTATTGATTCCTCATAAAATTACCGCTATTTTTTTTTTTAAGAAAACATAATAAATTTGACATTTTAAGAAAAAAAAATGTTATTATATACCCAAAAAAATTGTATTTTTTTTTAAATAGAAACAAACAATATTTGACACTTTCTTAAAAAAGTAAAAAATATTGGAACATTTTTGAAATTGAGTTTTTTATATTTCTTATAAAATACATAAAATTAAACTGTAAAAATTAAAAAAAAAAACAATTACGAGATTGTAAAATATATTTGTAGATTACATACTGAGTACAATGACTTCCCGAAGATGATAATATATGATTTCAACTATTTAACGTTTCTGTAAAATATTTGTTTTCACATTTAAACATTTAATAGTTACAACAAAATTTAAAAGAATCAGTTAAAAACAATAATTTAGGTCTTAATTAATAAGAAGTTGGTATAATCAACTATTTTATTAGTAGACATCTTTTTCGGTTGTTTCTTCTTGTGGCTCTTTTTATTATTTGTTTTTATATGTTTAGATGTAGGTTAGGTTACAAATTAAATATTTAATAATAATTAGTTTTTATTATTTTATTAACCTTTTATTTTATTTTTTAATATGTTTTAGGCTCTTGATGTTATGGACAAGTGCTTAAATCTTCTAAGGTTGGATTATAAATTTATGGTAAGTTTTAAAGTTTTCAGTTATATTTATACATTTTGATTAAGTTTTACAAGAAAAAGTTAGTAAACTATACTTTTGTTTTTAGTGTTTTTTTACTATTTTATTTATATTATTAAACAATTTAAACTGAAAGTAGTTTTTAGCTTTATATTTTTGTATTATTACATTGTTGAAAATAATGCTTTGATTTAAGTATAAATTCTGATAAAGTATTAGATATAAAAAAAGAGCATTTAATTAAATTTGATACTTATATCAAAAAAATATGAATCATTAATTTCAAAGTTTACAAAAATAGAGTTGATGAGAGAGTAGTAAGGTGAGAAATTAAAATATTAACGTTTATCATAAATTTGTTTTTCTTGTTTACTATTATTACACATTAATTTTTTATATTTTATAAATGCATATTGTATAATTTATCTAAAACTCAGTTGATTTTGTTTATCAATCAATTTACAAAGTTCACTTTTTATATTGTATTGAAGTAGCCAAGGGTTATAAAATCTGTAGTTTATCAATGTTTACATTGTCTATGGAGTGCTATTTTTAATTCCATTATAACATAGCTATAAATATAAATTCTTGGGACTAAAATGATCAATGTCAATTGTTTGCGAAAATTAGAACTTTTTTTTTTTTCAATTGATTAATTTGTTTACCAAATGAGAAAAAATTAGCTTGGGAATTTGAAAAAACGAAAATGGTTTTTTTTTTTTTTAATTGTTAATATTGTGTTATATTTTTAGCTAAATATTTAGTTATGTTTAATGTGTTTACTTAATGTATATAAATACCTGTCTAAATAAATATAAATTTGTTTCCCAGATTATCGACAACAGCAAAGGCCGTATCAATGAACAGTATCCGCACAAGATACCGATAATACAACATGAAAGGTATCCAAGGGGCCCGAGAAATGACAGATCGTCGTCTAGTTCCGATGACGTTTCACCAATGGGAGCTTGCAGCCGCAAGAGAAACAGCTTGGGTGCTCCTTCTTCGAGTAACCACTCGTCTCCGGAGCCTTATGCCCGATCTCAGTCGCCTAGACATAGTCCTAAAAAAACTACCGACGCCATTGGCACTGACATAGTGTCCATCGACACATTAATTAACGAAGCAAAGTTTGCGCGGTGTCGAAATCGTTTTGTCGTTCCCGTGATATTATATCAAGGAAAATATATTTGCAGGTATGTTGCTAAATTGTTCACAGGCATTGTTGTTTTGCTCAATATTTTAAAATATATATTAATTGTATTTTATAACTTTTTTTCAGATCTTCTACTATAGCCAGAATGACAGAAATCGGATTAGGAACGGCGTCCGAAAAAGGATTATCATTTGAGGAGTTCCGGCAATTAGATAAAAAAAGAAAATGTGACGTTGAATTACTTAAAGCATGGAAAGTTGGAACAATTATCGACTTAATGGTTGAAAACGAAAAACAGAAGTATTTAATTGCGTAAGTGATGTTGTTGTGTGTACCGAAAGGTTTGAATTGTTTCATATTTAATTTAATTATATTTTCTACAGCGTCACGTCATCGGAAAAAGTCGACGACACACAAAAATACGCCGTATTCAGAATTATTCCGACTCCGTATCCCGGTTGCGAATTTTTTCACGATTTCAAAAAGAACAACTATAACTCTGAAGGTCTAATGTTTAACTGGTCTGATCCAGCCATTAATTCCACACTGAACGTAAAACCCAATCCTGCAGTCGATCAACTCGACATCCAGTGGAATAAATACAAGGTATGCAATTATTGTTAACATTTTCTAATCAGTTTTAAGAGTATATTTTTATTTACTAGGAATGGGACTTGCGTCAACTGACCGAGAACTACTTGAGTTTGATGTTGAAATACATTTGGTGTTCGTCAAAAGGAATACTCATTCATTGCATTAGTGGTTGGGACCGCACGCCTTTGTTCATATCGTTGATCAGAATGTCTTTGTGGGCTGATGGAGTCATTCATAAGTCGTTATCACCGAGCCAGATGTTATACCTAACTCTAGGATACGACTGGTATCTGTTTGGACACAACCTAGAAAATCGGCTCGAAAAAGGAGAAGACATCATGCATTTCTGTTTCCATTTCTTGAAGTATATATTTAGCGACGATTTCAAGACGCCAACTGTTCCGTAATTATAACTACGATTGTTGCAAAATCCGATAGAGTTTATTATTTACATAACATGTGTACGTCTGTCTTATAGTTCTGCTGTTACTGCGCCAAACAGTCCAAAGTTCTCTTCGTACATGGGTGAATTTGATTTAGCCGATTTGGATCATTTAGAAATACGTTCGAGACACAACAGCAACGGCAGGTAAGTTGTTGGCTAATAAACTGATAAGAGTGGTCCGTCTTTCCAAACGCTGTAAAAGTATAATTGTAATTTATTTTATTTTGTAGCAACGAAGACTTGACAATCGGCAAAGTCTACGACGGGTTCGACGATTATCATTCGCAGTTTGATTTCGATCAAACTGTTACGACAAAATTGAAGTCGTTGAAGAAGCCGACCGAAAAGTTTTTCATCAAGGAAACCATTTACGAAATGGACGATATCGAAGATATCGACGACGATGACTTCATTATAGCCGACGAAGTAGAAACAAAACGGTATAAATGTTCGTCTCCCCGTAGGCGTTATCGTTCTATGAGATCGCCTGATTCGGACTGTGATATAGACGATTTCGAATTCACCGCTAACGTCGAGAGGACAATGCCCGTCGACATGCCGTCGTCCAATAAACGAAACCGGACATGTTCCAATTCGAGCGAAACTGACGAGTAAGATATATATTTGTTCTTGACACCGATGTGCTCGCGTTTGGTATAACATTCGTATTGAATATTTTCAGATGGTCGATGGTAACCCAAACCGGTAGCTTAAACGGAAACGATATTACCGACAATAAGTTTAGAACTATTTCATCGTAAGTTGAAGAACGAAAAAAATACATTCTGTCAAGTTGATTAACTCAATTTTTTTTTACATTTTTTATTTTAGACGAGAAAATCGATTGTCCGCAATTCGAGAACTGTTTCACAAATGTTACAGTACGTACGGTTACAAAACTGACGGGCCCGAAGGTATTCTTAGTAAATTATTATTTTAACGGTACGTGTGAACACCGATTAATGTGCGTATATCACGTTAATATTGTCTTTGTCGACACTCCAGCGTTCAAACGTCCTACGTACCTACGTGTCTAATGTTTGACGGACTGAATCATACTAAAAGGCTGACATTTATTGGATTAACTACATTTGAGAAAACGTCCCGTGCTAACGTATCGCGTCTTTCACTCGATTTTGTGTGTTGAACGATTTTGTGATAGCCAACGTTATGTAGAAAATGTTGCCGGCTGTCTGGCCAGGTCCGACATAGTTTGAAGTTGTTTTTGTTTGTATTCGTATACTTAGACTTGATTTTCTTCGATATTAAAACTATTTTCTCTCTTTCTCTCTTTTTTTTTTATTACATTTCAATTATCGCCACATAACGTAGTCTTGTCTTATAGTAACAATTTTTCTTTTACGAGTTATCCAATAGCCACAATTACATTCGCAAACGGTCAAATCTCCAATGCATTAAAAAAAAAAAAAACTATTACACTTTTTTTAACATCTTTTTATATTTATATAATATATATTATACAGTAAATCAATTATAGTGGTGTATAATAATATACTTGAGCAATACACGGGGACGCGACATCCTAACGTGTGTTTATTTTTTTGTTCTTCGCCGAGGCTATCATCACACGTCAACAAATGAATTATTGTAAAAAAATACTTTTGTATAAATTTTCAAACCACGTATTAAAATGTATGTAAAAAAAAAATGTAATGAATTATATACAGGGTGATTGCCTGGTGAATTTATGTTACGTATACTCAACTTTATGTATACGGCTGTGTTCAATCGGAATCATTTCCAGCCAAATTTCAATGTTTTTTTAATGTTATAATTACTATTTATTTTTATCATTGTATTATCTTCTTTAAGCTGTTAGTAGGTATTGTATGATTTTATTATTTTTCCTTTTGTTATTGTAGTCTATATTCTAGCCACACCCGTTATGTTGACGCGACACTTATTTATTAGTTCCCACGAACAGACTATGGTTTTTTTTTTAACAACTTTTTGTTTATATACAAATCATCATTTGCAATATTATTACTATATGTGTACTTCTTAATGTGTGATGATGACTGCCAGTAAACAATACGCTGTATAACTAAATATCTAAGTATATAAGGGGCAAGTCTACACTGTGCGTGATTGTTTGTTACAATTTCTTTTATATCTACCAACCCGTTACGGCGCATCTTACGAAAACTAACAAGTTTCTCTTTTACCAAAAGAAATAACCATTTTTTTTTTTCTACATATGTTTATAGTTAGTCTCGGTCGGTGTAAGGGGATGGCTTTTCGCCTGACTTATTATTAGCAATAACAATAGGGAAAAAAATCAAACTTGTTAGTATTTCGTAAGTGGCGTCGGTTAAATATTGTGATACATTTTGAAATTAAAATTAGTAATAATTTTTTTAATATATATACATACAAACTTTTATACCGGGAGGTTTTTTTGATATTTAAACATTATCACTGACTTTCAATATTGTATACTAAATGTAAACATCATCTTATCTATCGTCAACAATTACTTTGAATTTTTTATCGTAGCACCCGTGTACTCGCACAGTATGACTTATTCAAGGGGTACTTACTTAGTAATAAGTAATTCGTTTAATATTTTAAGCAGACATATGTTATAGCCATTTTTTTTTTTAATATCTTATCATATTTACTACCCAAACAAGCACAGTTGAATGTAGTTCAGTTCAGTAGGTCATGAACACTCTTTACCGAGCCAAGACCGATTGAATGTGTTACAAGTTATAATATAGTCGATCGATCACATTTCAACATAACATAAATTTAACAATACAACATTTCAGTTTAATATTATTCTTGAATGCCATTTTCATGGTATAACTTAGAATCACATTAACGTTCAACAGAAAATTGTCATTGGGGGCTTTCCCTAGACGAATACCGAAACGCCTTTGGCAAGTCGTTCCTATTTTTATTAATATATTTCTTACCTTCATTAATATACATAAATTTGAATTTAATAAAATAATTTTAATATTAATTAATCAAGGTAAACTGTGAGGCTGTTGAATTTTTTTTTTTTTTTTTGTATTGTACTTAATATAAATAATGTAATAATAATATATTAAATGGTAATAATTTGTGTTCGGACACATTTGTTAAAGTCGCTATAACACATTTTTACGGTTGTGCGTTTGATGAATTGTAATACATTGTGGTTCACTTGAGAAAGTGGAAATCGGATTAGAAAGCGATATCTTTACATTTCGAAAACAATTTTTAACTAAAGTAATTTAAGTCAGCAGAGTAATATATTTTGTAATATCTAGAAATAGTCGTATACACCACATCATCTTTATCGTGTCTTTTACTCATGTGTTCATAGACATTAAGTACTTAATTGTTTGTTAACTCGGCTGTGTCAGTTACGAATAGCACATGTAAATTATAAGAGAAAAAATATCTCAACACAAGTTGATTGACGTTACATCCGTTTGTGATCTTAGCTTTGTATTAACAAAATACGTATTATATTATTATACAATATATTTAAGAAATGCGTTTTGTTATCCGAAACATAATTTTATATGTTACATAAACCGATTTTTTTTTTTTTAAATCTTATTATATAATATTGTTAATAACATTCTATTTAATAATAAAATATACTGACTAGAAAGAACGCATATTTTATAATACATTTCATTACTACGTGTAAACAGGATTTAAATATCAATTTTATAAAATAAAAACAGATTCAGACAAATATATCTATATTGTATTTTCTTTATTATAAACGTTCATATAATATTATGAAATATAAATAAAATGCATAATTATTCGAGTAGTTTTAAAGCAATAATACATTGGGGAGGGCAGATTGCACAAAAATATAATTCAAACAAGTTGGGATGTAGTTCAAATTTTTAACGCGCTTAAGAAATGTAGAAATATTTTTATTTGTAAGAGATTTTAATTTATCATAAAAAAAAAAAATTGTAACCACTAAGGCATTTGGTTGTAAGGAGTCTTATTAAATTGATATTATTAAAAAAATGTACGCCAAAATTTGACTTTTTTCTAGCCATTCTGGTTACTTTTTTTTTTTAATTGTCTCCAGTCGTACAAAACTTATAGAACAAAAACAAAAGCTTCCTCTTTAGCTTGGAAAATAACCAAAAATGCTACACAAGTTTTAAAAAAATATCATAAATAAAGATTTTTTACACATCATAACTAATTTAACATTCAGATGTTGTTACAAAATAATTTTATTTTCATACGACTGAAGACATTTTTTTATCAATATCAAGTGAACGTATTTTAAGCAGTAACTAACTACTAATCACTTACTTAATTTAAGTACTCCCCATCCCTAGTAATATTATTAATAGTAACTACCCCCGTTAATATTAAAGGTAAAATAATCTAGTTTCGATACAAATATTTACGTATACCTTATATTATAATTACGTATAACTGACAATGCCTTAAGCGCTAAATTTTGAGTAGTTGGGAGAGGTTATACGACACATGCAAGGGATGGCTTATTGGAAGACGCTGCGGGGTGTGTGAACGTACAGGGATCGACTAAAACTTGTACAAAAACGGAAACGGGGCTATGTAGTCCAATGTAGGCGACATATTATTATGATTTTGATATGTATGGAAAAATTCTATAAATTGTACTTGAACCACCAACAGAGGAACCCCCCCGGTGGCTGACTAGAATATGTTTGATGTTCGGCGTCACTGAATTATTTACACGATTTCTGTTCGACGTTTTTGTAGCAAGTGTCGCATTTGACGAAACAACACCAGACAAACTTGCAATTGCAGTGCTCTTCTTGTTTGACCACCTGAAACAACAATGGCGATTGAAAATAAACATCCCAAATAGGAACGCATCAGAGTCCATTACGTTTGTCATGTGACCGCGACCGCAGCACAGTTTGTTACAAGAATCGGGTCCGGTCGACGTGCCGTTGCATTTACGACCTTCCGTACCCAACACGCCGTTTCGATAGTCTTGTTTGCAATAGTTTGGCGACTTCTGTATGTGCACTAGTTCTTTGGGTTCGGCCAACAACGGTCGTTTGGACCTTTTCTTTTTGTGGGCCCTCGTATCGCGTTTCCGGTGAGTCGTTACCGTGGAGTTTTTCTTTGACGATTCGCCCGCGTTGTGGTTTATCTGTAACGCAAATAATCGGTTTCAGTTATTTAATGTTAATAATCCTAAATAATAAGTGTAAAATACCAAAATAGCTTTTCCGTATTTTTGCTTGAGTACTTTGCCGATTTCACCGAACGAAGGCATAAATTTCCAACAGGTTTTCAGTTCACACGAACCCGATACGCCGTGACAACGACAATGCATTTTCATTAGAGACATTACGGTCTGAACAGAATACATAAATATAAACAAAAAAAAAAAATTGACGATGGCGGTCGATCCGAGAATTACCTGTCTTCCGACTTCGTTGTTGTGCAAATTCATTTTAAAGCGACTGGACCAGATTCTTTTTTGCTTTGTCGTCTTGAAATTATTCGGACGTTCTGGTTCGGAGCCGTCGACAAATTTACGTGAAAATTGCAAACCGAAACGCAAGTTGTCACTGTTGAAAATTAAAAAACAAAATTTATATTTGACCACTAAATATAGCAAATTTTTTGTAATGACTTTTTTTAAAGAAACCAATTGCGCCATACCTACATCCTCCCCATTTCCAGCCTTCTGGAGTAGTCTTGCCGTGTTGCATGGCGTCGCAACTGCATTCCGTTAGACTGCCCGAACTGCAAGCGTTAGTTATGGAAAAAACTACACCCGCACTAGTGATTGCATAGATAAAAGCAGTTTCTTTACTTCCTGAAAAAAAAAAAAATTAATTAAAATTATTTATTAATAATTTAAGTATAAGAGCAATTTGTGGTTACTAAAACTGTAATAAATATTTATTAACATGAACACAACATATTCATTATAAACCATTGTCACAAAAAAACGTTATCTCAGTTGACAAAAAAAGGTTTTGAATACATTAAAAATAACATTTTATAATTATGTTTTGTCAACAAATTGAATGTATTACAAATAGTATTGCTATTTATATTGCTAACGAAATATTGTTTAAATATTCAAAAAATGTACAGTTTTAATAAAATATTTAAACAACATTTTATAACCAATATAAACTAATTTCTGACCGGAGAGTGATTGTAAGATAATTTTAAAATACTGATATTTTTATTTTAACTGGAATTCACTGTACAACAGTGATTTATTAAAATTAAATAATTGTTGATACAATAAAATAATAAAGAAGCAAAAACAATAAAATATTTATATCTTAAAATGTCAATTTAATTTATAAATTCATTAAATTAAAAACATTTAACTTCAATGAATAAGTTTTATGTTAAAATTATTTGTTACATTAAAGTTATTGTAAATTTAAATAGTTTGTTCATTTTTTTGTTATAAAAATTGTACAATATGCAAAAATTAAAAAAAATTTGATAATAATAATAAATTTGATATTTATTGAATTTTCCAGCATATTGTCCTCACTTTTAAGATAATATTTAAGGTTTTATCATATTTTGAATTAAACTTTTTTTTATATAATAATCCTTACCTTAGTTTTAATAGATTACCAAATAATCTTTTTTATGTATTGGTTATTAAATCAATACCCTTTTATTGTTATCGACAAAAGCAATATTTAAAGATTAAATAATAAATACCTCTGTCTAATGTCGGACCAAAGACACTCTGTTCGTTTTCAAGAATTGAGCAGTTCCATCGTTCGTGGCGAAATTGATACTGACATTGTTCAATGGCTTTTTTCGCTCCGTCCGATACTGAGTAAATAGCATTTGGATGTTTCATACAGATGTTTATTTGTTTTGTCGCCAATCCTGGTAAACCACCACATATGGCTCTGGCTTGTATCTTGACTGGGTCTTCGAGTTCCGCTCCAGGTGACGCTTGTTGTTGTTGCAATGGCGGCGGTATGCCTATAACTCCTAGGTACCTATATTTTAATCAAATCGAATAATTATTGCAAATAATGTAAGGAAACTTAAAAACATAAAAATAACCTCGTTTAAGTATTAACTAAAGGAGTAACAAAATTCATAAGTAGGTAATTTATTAAATTCAAAATGGGCCTTTAGGGAAACAATCTACAACTCAAGCCAAACAAATTAGAAAGCAACTTGCTATCTCTACGAAAATAAACAATTAGACGACGTAAATTGGAATGTCGAAAAACAATAACAAATCAAAAAGGCTCACTAACTGCCACAATTATACAACACATCAAGTTATAACGACCACTACTGAATTAAAATAAATTTGTGTTTATGATAAAGCATTACAGAAAATAAAATTTGGACATTTACTAATTAATATTTACAAAAAAAAAAAAGGACAATGTCTAACATTGACAACTGGATAAAAGCAAAGTATTTCTATCGCTGATTGACAGTAATTAAACGGCACTTACATCCAATTGGGATTTGCCGATAACGCAAACGGCAGAAATAGCAATATCAGTCGGAAGATACTCATCAAAGGTTTCATATCGGTTTAAACGTAACACTTTATGTTATAAAGAGCAGTCCTTAAGTTATCAATATTGTTATTAAAATGTTTACAATTAATCAAACGACGTCATCCCGAAAGTATTTTTTTACCATGACCTACGGCGGCACGAGTGCAATGCCATCGGAAAAAACCAACGAAGCCCCCGGACCGAGTAACCGAGCCTACGGATATGTTCACTGGTACGGTTTATTAGCAATTGTGTTTTCAACAGATCCATCGGACGTTTGACGGACTTACGGTGTTGGTCGTAGGCATTGTCGTTGCGTAGCTGATCAATCACTGTCGAAGGGCGGCTCTGCCTCTCTTTGTTTATTTTTTTTTTATTCGTTTTCTCGTGGGGCGAGCAGCCTCTTGTTGTGCGTGGTAGGTAGGTAGGTAGGACGCCGGAACGCTTTTCAGTGTAAATTATTACTATACACACTGTGCACTCGAATAATATTATTACTACCCCGACTGTATAGTGGACGAATTTGCCGACGACGGTGGGTAATTGATTTGTGGGTCTGTGACACGTTTCGCAACGGACAACCCGAAACGGCGATGAACGTATCTGCCGGCGGAAATCGGCAGTTGAATGTTTAGTTAAAATTGAATTTACAAAAAATAATATTAACAAAGAAACAACGTAAAAAAAAGGAGAGATGCGACGCGCGTTATCAACGGGGCGCGTTTACAACAACACAACACGTTAACGCTCGGCCGCCGCCTGCCAGCTGCGTCCCCGTGGTCCGTTAAGGGGAAGCTGTTATTGACTTTACAGATACACTTAGAGGGGCGGTGTACGGGGAGGGTAGGATTCGGGTACTTACACCGACCCTTAGAAAGACAAACGAGGTGAAAAAAAAAAATACACATATATATATATATACATATAATAATATTCAAGTACCCATACTTGAGCGTTTACAAAAATTTCCAACCGAACGGGACGCGATGAAACGTTTGTTGAATAATTTCAAAAAAGAAAGCCAAAACCAATAATAGGTTCTATAGGGAAGCATAATATTGGTTATTATTATTATCATCTCGAGTACCTAACCAAGAGAAATGTTTTAAAGAGGTAGGTACTCGGGTACAATGTAAACCGTTGAGCGTTAGGTACATTGTTGCAGTTGCAATGCAAGTGGTTTTGTGATGCCCTTTGAATGGTGTTCAAGTAAAGTACGTTTTTTGTTCAATCGTTTCCTCGTACAAAACTACAAAATTAAAACGGTCTTCACTCGTTTTGCGTTTGGATTTCATGTACTTAGATCAACGCCTTATGTTGACTTCACCACAATGACTTATTGTCATTAGTACCTACATATAGGTACAACGTTTGTACAGATTGTTGTTATTCTAAAAATAATAAAAAAAACTATCAAGTGGTACCTACATTTTTTTTACAAATATAATATCGTCACTATCGTTATGAAAAATTAGTATCTACTACCTTTTATTTTTCAAATAACTATGTAGGTTCATATTTTAATACTGAAGAAACAAAATACAAGCCAGACAAAATGTCGACTACTATTAAGATGGTCCAATTTCAATTCTGTACTAGTTCCTTGGCAATTTTAGTAGGCTATGTAGAAAACAGATTTTTTGCTTTTTTTATATAAAAAAATTGGTTTTAATACTGAACAAATTTCAATTTCGTTCCACAGAAAAGAGGAGTATACCTATTTGGTAACGGGCGGTAACCGGATTGGTAACCTGACCTAAACAATCCAATTACCACGTTTGAATGTTTAAACCTCTGTTGGATATAAAATTTTGAAACAAATGTTTATATTTTTCTTTGAAATTATTAAAAACTCACGCCAATCGTTTACAATAACTTCTTTTTTATATAAACAAACGAGTAGGTATTGATCCCTTTAATTAATTATTATTTATCTAATTGATATTACTTAGAGTGATGTGTTAACAATAATTAGCACACACTGATACATTTTCAAGTTAAACACTTAAAAAAAGGTAAGTGTATAAAATATATCCTTTTTTTTTTTACAAACATTTATTCTATACCGGCTTTGTTCGTATTTGTTTTATCTTTGTGTTTATAGATTTTTATTTTCGATTTTAAATTTTCTACATAATATATTTTCAGCCCATTACATTTTTGACGTTTTGTTTTGTATTGGCTACATAATAATAAAAAAAAACTGTACTAGGTATTTTAATTTTAATTTATAATAATACAATATATATGTATACCGACGTTAGGTATAACCCGTTATTGTGTTTTTGACACGTCCAAAGAATTAATTATGATGTATTACATTTTTCCGCGGCTTTTGTCGTTTCGTGACCTTTTTTTAATATAATATTATACACTTTATTTTATTTTTATTTTCCCCTAACCCCCCCCCCCCCTCCCAAACTACCGAAACCGATCGACTAAATGAATATTACAATAACATTATTTCACGAGGGCCAAAAAGGGGACCAATACTAAATCCATATAGAGCAGACCTCTAATTTGCATACTTTTGCCAGTTAAATACAATACAATACAACAAGGTCTACCCTTACAGTGGTTACACCCCCTCTTCATGTCGGCATGACAGATTTATAATATAGTGGCTGTACAGAAGGTACTCTAAAACGCATTAGTTATTATTATTTAGAACATTACACAAAAACGATTTTATATATATATATATATATTCAATGTTGAATGTTAGCCGTTTTGTATAAATTTACATATTTTTAATTTTACCTTAAAGACAAGCACTTAAAAAAAGTTTTAAAAAGGCCTCAAATGGGCACTACATTAATTTTGAGGCAAGTTCTGAATTAAAAAAATAAAAATATTTAAAAGAGTTTTAAAAAATTATTCAAACGTACTTAAATATCAACATACTCATTTTATAATTAATATACTAATTTTAATTTTAATCCATGCTGTGTATCTTAATACATGAATTAGGAAGACCTGAATGTATAGAAATTACTTAAAAACACAATTTCAAAAAAATAAACTTACTACTAAATAAACAGTTTAAGTTATTTCATAATTATAGTTCATTCAAGTTTCAACAACAAATACTTTTTGAAATGATACAAATTGACTGTTAAATTTTTATAAATTAAAAAATTGTCATTATAATGATAGTTATATTTTTAAGTACAACGTGAATAAGACAATGACTAGATATGCTTATGTTTAGTGATGTGCATTTAAGCCATTGAAAATACAATTTTTGAGGTTTTCTCATTTAGTATTAATTTATTTTATCAAGGTAAGAGTAATTCAAACCGTGTGGTTTACTCTTGAAATTTCCTGTATTTCAAAATACAACAAAAGATAATTAATAATATTACTGAGACTATTTCTCTCCCACTATAATGTATGGGTACGTAGGTATATACTTCGACATCATCTACCATATTTCTTAGTGCACTTAAAACTTTTGAAAAATTATTTCTGATTGCGAACAAAACTTGAAGGTAATTCGGACGTTTTTCCAGTCGTGACACTTAATAGTTATTCATTATTTGTATTTGTATTTTTTTTAAGAAAAGTGAGCACTTTTTTACTATTGCCTATGTATTGTTGTATAACTATATGACCTATAGGTTATCAGGCGTATAAAAGTCATCGATTTGATGGAATTTGCAAATTATACATACAAGTTTGCTAATAAACAATTTGAATTTTTAAAATCAGATACAAAGCAGTTATTTCCTTTAAACAATTAGAGTTATAATAGCTCTTGTTGTCGAACAACAAAATTATAAAAACATCAGTACGCATTACACGTAGCTATTATTAATATAATAGTAATAATGTAATACAAGACCACCGACGGTCTATACGTAGAAGATATTGATGGATCTGTAACTTTAATATGTTCGGCTACTACAGAAATCACACAAAAAGCATTTTGTCCGTTTGGAATTATTTGGTTTTTTTGCAAAAGGAATCCATTTTTGCCAGTGTCTCCCAATTCGACGGCATATACATATTTTATAAGCGCTTTGCCTTTTGCCCAATCGATTGCCGTTCCTGAAAATATTATTGGAAATAGTTTTGGACATATTTTTTTTTTTTATAACATTTTTGCATTATATTGTTTGTTAACTGACCATATGTTCTATCGACTGCCGTACTCGCGGAGCCAACCTTGTATTCTGTAGAAGTTTTATTTAAAATTTCCCGGGAAATCATTTGTCCCACCGTGTGCAGATCAGCTTGATCTTGCAGCTTTGACTTTGTGTACGCCCATGGGTAGAGAATTAGTTGACCGTACGAATGAAAGGTTATAAAACCCTGTCATGAGTAATTTTATTCAAATAAGAATTCTGACATTCAAAATTTAAAATATAAAAAAATGTCTTAATATATTTCTTTACTACAATTTCTCCAAGGGATTGTTTGATATGAGCATGCGGAAAGATTTTCATTGAAACAACATAAAGACACTAAAAAAATTTGGCTAAAAAGTAAGTAGGTTTAATAAAACAGTTGAAATTTAAAAAAAATTTTGGTAATAAGGTTTCAAAAAGAAGAAGAAAATCTGCTATGATTGGAGACTGTGGAAAAGAACGGATACGAGGAATACAAGGAGATATGGTGAGGAGAATAACGTGTCGTTGGACGAGGTGGAAGAAGGCAACAGCAGGAAAACTAGGAGAAAATAGCTTTTCAAGATGGTTTGAGCATGTTGTAGCAAAATTATAGGAAATGAGCGTAGAGAGGACTAGAGGTGGAAAGTAGTCGGAAAAAGAAGTGAGTGAATAAAATACAGTATGGAAGTCTTTAGAGAAAATAGAGTAATGTGGGGAGGTAACTAAAATACTAAAAAATAATATTAAAATAATATTGAAGCTGAATAATTAGAAAGATAGCTTTTATAGGATAACGTTAAAAAATGGGTAAAAAATTGTAAATAAAAAAAATTAGTTTTAACATGTATGCACGATAAAATTAGATAGCAGAGCTTAAGGGATCATTTAAGTTCTTGTTTTTTCGTAAAACATAGTTGGATGGGTACAAGTGACAATTTTTTTTTAAAAACAATTTCACAAAGAGATATCGAAGTACACAAACGGTGTAATATTAATCAATTGCCATTTTGCTATCCTGAAAAATAACAGGTATAAAAATCACTTCTACTCATTTTGATTGTTATCCCGTGCGGTTATTAGATCTAGAATGGAACATTCGTACTGATCAATAATTGTGTCACAAACTTTTATTTTGTACCGATTTTCTTCAATGAACCGACTAATGGCCTTGACTTCAAATTCCGAACTCGGATGTGAGCCTCGGTACGTCTCCGAGCAAGGGTCGCGGTTCGAACTTAAGCCGTACCATTCGTAATCCCAATTTCGGTTCAGGTCAATGCCCAAACAGTGTTTGTGCGACGTGCCGGCAAGATTTTTCCGCCATAATCTATCTTTTTTGTGTGAATACATGTATCTAAGTAAAATGTGAATGTTTTAAAAGTACGCCGTTTCCACTTACAATCGTCCCTACCCATCAGGATTTAAAATAGGCATTAGGAAGAACTCTGTGTTTTTCATCGTGACCGACAGCGAGTTCCTGTTGTTAACAAACACGTCCAGTACGTACAACACAGACGATACAGTAATCCATTCTCGAGCATGAGTACCTGTTGACAGTATAACCATTTTTGTTTAAGCTGTTTAAGCCTTGGACTTGGACGACAGTGCCGAAGCGCACACTATAAGTCTAAAAATTGCCTAGAAGTGATGGCCATCGAACATGTCTTATAAACGTCAAATTTTCCGTCTCTTTCCGTCCGATGACTAGATATCTAGAAATTCCCATTTTCGCCATCTCATCCAACTTATCTATCCATACTTAACACTATATTATTTTTGCATTCCTTCCACATTGTGTCACAACGCGTCACGTGTTAAACGAGATTTTGTTTGACATTTCGTCAAGAAAGTATTTGAGTTAGTTGTGTTTGAGAGAATGATGTAATTGTTTTAAACTCCAATTAGACCATTTTTTGTCATAGTCCTATTTGCTTAACATTACAATCTGTGGTAATAAAATTTCCCGGTCGTAAAATTGTTACCGATACATATTTTAATGATTTATAAATTTGCAATTGCAATGCGGTTACCAGCTGTTATAACGACAAAGGACTATTGTAAATTAAATATTTTGATTTACTGTACATAAAAATATGTTTCAATATAGTTAAAATGTTTTGAGTCTGAACGGTGGGTCTTATTTATGATTTGAAATAAGATAACAATAACACCATAATACCATGATAATGACACCATTGATTATCTATTTTTCTTTTTCAATTTATTTAAATAACTAAATAATTTGGTCAAGTACAATCACTAATTAATTAAGCTGCTTTTAGCTTATTTTTACCTGAGAAGGTATTGTATTTACAATGATGTATATTTTTTTGCTTTATAATTACTTTTTCAAGCAAAGTTTTTGGTATTTAGGTCTGAAAATTAGACCGAATGTGGATCTAGAATGGAACTATAACATCCGTTCCCACCATGCCTCGACCCCACTGTACTGTTTTTTTTATTATAATAATATAATATAATTTATAAAGTTCCACCATGGCTAGGTAATAAAAACCAATAGCATTTGCTTTATTACAAAGTTCATGCAACGCTAATAACATTTTCCTAGTTAAAAAAAATCTACTGTCTACTTAAAGCCTAACGACTAAAATTATAAAACATTGAGCATGCTTAAGCCCCTGTTGGCTCCTGAACTGTGATTATTTCTAATCTATAATCTCTTTGCTATTTATGATGATAGTACAGTCTTAATTATATTTTCTGGCCAAATAAACAATAATCGTGTTGCTTAGTTTGTGCGCTACTTTAGTATAGCAATTTAGTGTCGTTTTCGGGCTTGGGGGCCAAGGCTAAAGCATGTCCCATACTAATATTAATTTAGTGCTTTTCAAATGTGTAAAAATATACTCTCACCGGTCACTATGAGCTGGCTTTGGGCAGAAAAAGATACCTTAAAAAATACAAATAATTTAGTCTGCACATTTACCTCCGTCGACCCAAATACTATGATAATCTTCATTTTCTTCTTCAGGTATGATTCGTATGATTTTCAACGGAGTGCCTTTGATGGTATGACCGATGGTTAAAATTTCTATGAGTTCAAAATTATCTTTTGCCAACTTTTCGATTATATCATATACAAGGTTGGTGTGGTAAAACTCCAATGCAATGTTATATTTGTCTGATGAATTGATTTTTAACGCTGAACAGATATGAATAAGTCTCACTATAACAATACTAAACGGTCCACCACACAGCTTCATTATTGTTCTGTTATTTGCACATTACAGTTAAAAAAAAAATTGTTTCTGACTCATTGTTTTTATGTATGTTTCCATAACAATCTACACTGTTCAGATAACTCTTTTGTTTCCTTTAAGTACTTGTGTAAAAATTACCATAGGAATAAATAAATAAAAAAACTTGGATAAAAAATAATTTAAAAAAATAGACCTACCTAAGTCTTATCACGGATAATACTTGGGTCTGATTTTTTTTTTTAGTTGAATAATACAAATGAAACGTTGTTAAATTTTAAGATTACAAAGTTGGTCAAACTGCCAAAGATAGCCTAAACAAATTTGCTAATTTTTTTTACTTTTAACTTTGATCTGTTATACCATCTCAACAAATAATCAGATTATGTCCATATTAAGTATATTGACTTTCGTTTTTTAGCCCGACCGACTTTATTGTTTGGTACATCAACCAAATAGAAATCTTAACTAGAAATTTATCAGGAATTTTAAAAGTGAAAAAGTTAACTCTCATAAACGAGGAAAACCGAACATATACAAAAATGTACCAGGTGTGTCAAAGTTGAAAATTGTAAAACTAGAATTTTTTTTTATTAAAACCTAATACTTTCAACGTAATGGAAAAAAAACAATTTGACAATCAAAATTGTGAAAAAACTTTTAAAAGTAAAAAAATATGTATGTTAAATCAATTATAGGTATACAAACTTTAAATTTAGTAAATTATAGTCTTTTATAAGTATCTTAATAGTTACTTCGGGCATTGTGAACTTATTTAAAAACTTAAATGTTTCAAATATATATATTTATGTGTATTGAATAAAAGATATTTTTAAAAACTGATTTTTTTTTAAATATAAAATTATCATAAACTAGAATCGAATAAGTTATTTACAAAATTAAAAAAAAAAAATTTACTTAACTCATTTTTGAACAAAATTATAAATATTACTCTAAACAAATGAATAACTCTAGCCAATATTAGGTATAAAGCCACTAAAATGTATTATAAAAAAATATATTGATTTTTTTTCTTTTATTTTAGATGTGGCTAACTGAGAAGGTATTGTTTGTGTACAATTATGATTTATGTGTTTTTATTTGTTTTGTCCGGACACGATATTTGCTAAACCGCTGACGAATCGACGTTGGCTGGATCTAAACCGCTACTTCTAGCAAGTCTATTTGTGAAATCGTACCTAAAAGGTACTTTATTTAAAATATTTAAGAAGTTGGCATTTTTTTTTTGTTTTGTTAATGTGCATTTGGTGTAAAAAGTCGTTAACAAATTGGAGTAAAATAATATTGTTGTTGTGATTTTCTAAATTAAAAATGAATAGCTCTAGGACAAATCCAAACCAGATTTAAACAAATAACAGGAGTTAAAAAAAAAAAAAAAAAATCAGTACAGCATAAAGTGTTGAGCATATATTTTTTAAAAATGACATGCAGATAAATCATTGTTATTAGAAAATATATTTTTAATTATTTTACGGTAGTTGGTGATAGTGAGTAGTTTTTACCATAAACCCCATCCTTCTTCACTAATAGTGAAAACAGGGTCGTCCCCACAATTGAGTTGGTCGGCTTGTTGGTCCGGAAACAACTTGTTTTGCATATTCATCAATCCTTTTTTGACGATATCGAGATTAGGCTGATTGCCGTTGAAATAGTAGTCGAAGAGCACGTTGAATTGCCTTTGATACTTCTGCGCGGTTTTAAAGTCAGCACTGGGAAGCGATTGTTTGTAAGCTAAATTCCAATATTTCACATAGAGTACCAACAAGTCGGGTAGTTCGTCCATACATGATAGGTACCCTATCATTGAAATCGGATGTATCTTGTTTAGTTGTACACTAGCTGGGCATGTATTGTCATCAGTGTAGGCGCTTTCGTCGGAATCGCTTAGAACGCAGCGTCCAAAAACCTGAAACAAGAAAATCACAATAAATTGGCGGGGCAAATTATTCAGTGTTATTTTTTATTTATGTAGCTTACAATATTGAATATTAATGATAAAAAGTTTGACTACAGATTGCCGAGAAATCTGTATAACATGTTACAGCACCACGCTAGATTTATCTTTTGTCTAATTTTTAGACCTCAAGTCCTAAAAGTTTGCTGGAAAAAGCGAAATAATAATAAAAAGTTTCCACCCTTTCTAGGGGAAAGGTTTTGCGAAGGTCTAAAGAATTGCCAATACAAATTCGACTGTTTGACTAAAAACAATTGAAGAGCGCCGTAATTTTAAGTCGAAAAATAAGTTCCTTTTTTCGGTACGGTTTCTGATTTACAGAGCTGTTACACAAAGAAATCGGTTCGGCAATTTAGAAGATTTCGTGGGTCCAGAGACACACATAAAAAAAAAACACAAAATTGCAAAAGCGATAACTTCTCAGCTCCGCGTCGAAGCTAAAATGTAGAATCTATTGTTATTATATAGGCATCTTACGCCATTATGTCATATTTTAATTTAAAACCGACAAACATACTTTTATGACAACCACCAATAACCACTCTATGTACATTGTATGTGCAATATGTATGCACATACAATATACAATTGTACCTTCTCACTAAATTTAAATTTTGTACTCATTTATTTTGATGTGTTTTTAATACTTAAACACTATTTATGGGGATTTTTGGCTCTGATTATCACCACTGTATATTAGTTTGATACCGATACATGTGATTTTTTTTGCCAAAAAAAATAAAAAAATGATTAACATATATATTATATATATTAAATACACATGATATTTTGTTTGCATGTATAATTAGTTAATAAAATAATATTGGACAGTTTTATAGTATAAAAAAAAGTTATGTTTTATGGCAAAAGTGGATCACATTGAGTTTAATTTTTAGATCTTAAGTCATAATATTACATCTAATTAAGCGAAACAAAGAAAAAGTTTCTTCGTCTTATGAGAGCAAGGGTTAATTAAATTTTTTTTTTGATTTCTCGCTGTATACCGGTAGTACTATATGTAAAGAGTATACAATTCTGAAAATGATTCAACTATTATTCAACAAGTTATAGGAATCCGTAATTTTAGAATGAAGATATGTAAATTGTTTTTCTCAATAACTTTAAAGGATAATTTGAGCATCTTTGATTTCGATTTCTAATCCATAGACTTGCTACTTACATAAATCGTCTCAGATGATTAAAAGATTTCGACAAAGTGAGGTCAAGTCAGTTATCAATTATTAAAGTATTCGAAGCTACATGGTATATATGCATTTTTGGTAATTATAAAATCGTTCATATACATACTAAATATCAAGGCACTATACTGACATTGTTATTAAAATGTACATTTCAGTAGTTTATAGTAATTTTGTAGTTTTTTGGCTGCACAAATCTTTTTAACACGTTTTAGTTGTATTGGACTTATATGCCTATTAAATGTTTCAACATTTTTCAACTGATAGGGTATAAATTGTGTTAGTTAGAACTTAGAATAATATTTATTGATTAAAAAAAAAAAAACTGAGCTATATATATTTTATATTTTTTTCAAGTGTCATCAAACTTGTAAGACTCTATGACTTTTTATAAGCAAAATAGGACAGCTATTAGCAGATCGATAATAGTGATGAAGCTATAACGGTCCAATAAGAATAACGATTACCCTCAAAGACTCCTCATTGCTTTATCAATAAAATTATATGAAACCTTTATTTTTTTTTTAATTAGGATTTGAAAAGTTCTCTTAATTATAAAATAACATTTAATTTTTTAATATACTGGCACATATTTTTTTTTGTAATCTATACATTAAAGAACAAAATAAAATATAATACTTACCATCACAACGAGAACGACTACGAAAGTCTTCATTTTTAGCGATTTTACAGAATTGTCAATTTGCATAGTATATAAACCAATGTAGATTTAATTGTTTTCAGATGAAAATCTAAACAGTTAACCTATATTTATATATATCCTACAATGCAAACTGTACGAAAATCTGTGTAATTAATTGTTTAGGCTTAACCTATCAGTATTCAATGAAAAATAAACACATTAATTAAAATTTATCATCCACCTATTGTATAAGATATTATTCACTAAAATCCATACTATAATAGTATAAATCATATGTATTACTGACAAAATAAATACATTTAAACAAATAAGTAAATTGCTACACTGTTGACATAGGTATTAAATGACGCAGGTTTAATTAAGGCATTGTTCATACTTTGTTGAAAATAAATGCCCTATTTGTAGAGAGAGATAAAGAGGGTTCGAATTGTGTAAAGCCAATTTAGTGTCTAGTTTTATTTTTTTTTTATTTAACACCGCATAGAAATTATATCGAATTAATCACAAAACGACAAATATGATAACTGTTAAAACTAATTAGTTTAAATAAAATGTAAGATAAAATTAGGATAAATAAATTGCTAAAATTACTGTAAGAAAATTTATTAGAGCATCGTTTAAATGGCCAAAACCTAATTACAAAATTTTTATTTATATGATATAATATTTTACATTATTACACAATATAATACAAAATAATTTAATGTTGCAATAAAAACAAATGTATTACTATTATGGAAAATCGTAAAGTATAACATCGTTTTTTAAATTTAAAACTTTAATATTTTAAGTAAAAAGTATTAGAAATTAAAATGAATAATTATAGTTAGAGTATTTTTCCATCAGACTCATTTTCTAGTCTTTTGATTAATTATTTTTAATTTTACCCTTAGGAAATAATAGTTTGAGATAATTATGTGTGAGTTTTAAAGCACACGAATTTGATTGGCTAGCTGAGGCACACTTTTACCTTAGACACGTGCAATGGGATCATTTAAGCATATTGTAAAGTATATTTTATTAAAATCTATTAAGAAACATGATCATTACTTCCTTTCGACTTTCTTGCGGTTGTGGTGTTTTAACTACAACACAATTAAAATTAATAATATAATTTTTTTTTTAATATGTATACATTTTATATTTTTTATAATACCTCATCAAAAATAATGTCTTAGTGTACCATAAGTAAAAAAAAATTATATTTTTTTATGGCTCAGAGTAATTAAGTTCAACTAAATTTTCCATCATAACTTGAAATGGTAATGAAAAATCTTTTGTAGTTAAACTTTCAAAATGTTTGGTACATTTATACAAGACACTAAGTTTGTATACTTTATTTTTGTATTCAAATATTCTTTGTAATAATCTTATTTTATTTTATGTATAACATTATGACGTCATAATCGACTAAAATAAAAAACTTAGCTGTACATTTGAAAAAAAATGATAAATATGATCACTTCTACTCAATTTTGAAGTAAACAATACAATTATTTTGGAAATTGAGTTTTTCTCTATTGCAGAAAACGTTACTTTTTGAGCTCATAAGTATTTTATTTGCAATACGTTTCGTTCAGCGTTGTATTTTTCAAAGCTTAAGTATTGTTAGTAATTTGAAACTTGCTAGTTTCTTATGAAGTGTGAAGTGTCGACGTAGCTTACATAAATTAAGTTATTTATTTATTAAAATTATCAAAATGGACTATTAAATAGTATTTATCTATCAAAAATAACCAGCAATTTTTGATACTAAAAATACATACTGGGACTCTAGTATCATAATATTTAAAATTGATTTCTTAACGACCACTCTATGTACATTATAAAATACGTATACAAAACTTAAAACGTTTAATATTCTTATTTTTTTTTTTTTTATTCATCTTGAGTATGTTTTATTGCAATATGGTTTCAAATATAATTGTATTATTTACTCCAAAATAGAAGTAATTGTTAAAAAGTATCATAAAAAAGAATTATGTTTTTCTTGTATTTTTTCTTACAGTTATATATTGTGTGAAATTTTAGGTATAGAACACAATAATAATTATGAATTTGGATGGTCCATGTGTCTTTTATTGATAAAACTCTTAAAATAGCAACTATCGCTAAAAAAAATGTATTGACCACATTTTACAGTGAGATATAAAAAGGTTAACACTTTAATCGGATTAAAAAAATAATTATTTAATGTTCAAACTGTTTCTTTATGAACTACCTCTACCTTGTACCTATACACGAACTGTTAAAAAGTACACACTACAAACCTAACTAAGTAAAACCCTAGTACAATTACAAACATTAACAGTTATAAGCTAATAAAGAAAGAGGTAGCAACACTAGATAGCCAACAATACAACTGAAAAAAAAAACTACTATTTTGTTTGTACTGTACTAGATTTTTAAAAATTATGTAAAACAACATAATATATTAGTAAGTAACTATTGTTAAAAGAAAGCCATAATTTATTATAAAGTAGCAATACTCATTCATTAGTCATCTATTAAAAAAAAAACATAATTGTTTTGACCAGTACTGGCGTTTCTTAATTATAATATTTCTTTTTTTTCAAACGTTTGTCCAATAGATATTGTGTATATCGAATATTTTATTTAGTAGTTATTTCTTGTAATATAATTGTATATTGGCCTTGACCTGAGAAGTGATAGCTATATAATATAATATAGATTAGGTTCATCAAGCGTGTAAATGTTGTCAATAAGTAATATTATGATGTCATCGTTCTGAAATCTTAGTTAAAAAAAGCCCGGCATTAATCCAAACCGGAATTATAACGGGTGTATTAAAAAAAAACAATCAATTCAAAGAGTCAAAGTGTTTAAAATATATTTTCATAAATGACACTCGGATAAATCATTATTATTGTTTGTGACAAAATAGGTCAATTTTGGTTGAAAATGATTTGAACTCTTTTAGAAATACTCTTCTTCCAACGTGAAAGCAGCTTTGTCGTCACAACTCATCTGGGAGAGTTGGTGGTCCGGATACATTGTGTTTTGTAATTTCAACAAGCGTTCTTTCACGTATTCCAACGCGGACGGCTTGTCCTTAAATAAATCGTCGAATAGTAAGTTGAAATTATCTAAATTCTCCTTTGCGCCAACAATTTCTTCACTGGACATCGTTTGGACATAAGCTGTACTCCAAAATTTCTCGTAGATCAGCTGCAATCCGTCCAAGTCGTTGTAACATTGCAAGAACGCCACAATTGCCCTAGGATGTATGCCTTTTAATAAGTCATGAGGTGGGCATGCAAGGCCATTGTTATCGTAGACTTCTTCGGAGGAATCGCTCAAAGCGTAGCGTCCACAGACCTGGAACAAAATAAAAAAAAATGCACAATAAGATAGCGGTAAACTAGTGACATGAGCGCAGAATAATCACACAAAAATACAACATCTATAGTACAATGTATTTTCTAGAAATGTATAAACTTTTGCAACTCAAAAGTTAACAAATATAATTATACAATTGACTTTTTCAATTTAAAAAAATAACTCCCTCAACATTTTGATATTAGAAATCGATAGCAATATTAATAATTATGATGTATGTTGGTAGACAGCGTTAAAAATGATATTAAATCACAGGTTTTCCTAAAAAAAAATTACCTCAACCAATTCACTAACAGAATTGAGATTCGAGACAGGATCAAAAACAAAACAATCAAAATTATGGTTTAGAAAACTGTTTACTTCTAAACTGTCTTCTCGTGATAATCCAATGTAAAACTTAACTAATATTTGTGATAGAGTTTGTAAGTGAATGACACACAAATATTTAAAGAAAAAAACTACAATATTATTATTTCATGTTTAGAATAATCAAGGGTCACGGGGAAAACATCAATTTTAATTTTTTTGTGAAAATGATATACTATTTTATTTTTCAATTTTCCTATAAGCAAAATATTGTTTTTATTTTGCTTTTACTTAAATATATTTAGTTTACCGACAACATATGTTTTTCTCTCACTCGAACCCTTGCTAAAATGTCATTTTGTAAGTTAGAAAATTTCAAAAAATTGACATTGATCTTTTTTCCCGTGATCCTTTACGTGTCTACGTTAAATTGGTTAACCTGTATGAGTCTAGATAAAAAAAAAATGTTAAGGACAAATTAGCAAAATACCCAAAACCTTTTCACGTATAAAATAAGTTACACACAAATTAGGAAAATAATAGTTACAAATATTTGTGTGACAAATATTTTATATTTGTATTAGGTTAATGCAAAAATCATAAAGATGCTATCATAAAAATTACCATAATATGGACATTATGGAGTAACAATCAAAATGAAAATATGGTTTTAAGATATATTTTTAGTAGATGAAAATAATAAAATGTATTATTATTATCTATAATAAAATTAATATATGTATTTTAGAGAGAAATGGGTACATTTTTGGCCTTACAAGTACTCTTTGATTAAGATTTTCAATCTTTATTTTAATGCTTTTAAAATGTACAATTCAGTATGTTATAGCAATTTGAATTTTTTTCGCAATAAAATAATGCAGAGACATTTTAACTATACTTATTAGATATAGTAAATTGAACTTTTATTTAATGGCTGATTTTCAGTTTTTAATTCCATAATCGAATGCAATTTATAATCTATAGCCTTGCTACATAGGAAAAAATGTTTAAACGGTTTAAAAATATTCCTTAGATCTTTAGATAACTGAAATTAATCATTATATATATATCTAAGTAGGTACACCAAAAATGCTTTTAAAATTTATACTTCAATAAATTATAACAATTTTGTTATAACAAGTTTTTTTGCAAAAAAATAAAATTTGAGTTAATATTCAATTGCTAAAATTCTGTTTATAAGTTAAAAATTTGAGTTAAAAATTTTTTTACTTTGATCGGTAAAGAAGGAGTTTTGTTAACGTTTTACTATAAAGATTTTGTCAGTTAGAGCTTTAATAAAAACGTATTTAATTGTAGTTAATCACAATAAATTGTAATACTGTTTTTACGGGCTATGCAAATTTTAAGAATCTATTAGTTCTACGGGCGAAATAGATTATTAAATAACTGACTGACAATAGAAGGGAAATCGCACTTTTTATTTTTGTAATCTGTATATTAAAAATCATTATACAAAATACTTACCATCACGACAAGAACAACTGCGAAAGTCTTCATTATAATGATTTTACAGATTTATCGATTATGTATAAAAAATGTAAATTTACTTAAAAATCAAATTAAGTTTTAAACAATTATTTTGCGTCATGCCATACTTATATATCTGTACCTGCGCTACAAACTATATGGACATCTGTATAATTAATCATTAATGCCTAACCGATGTGCTGTTAATGGAAAATAAATACATTAATTATTATTATTTTTTTTAATGTTTTTGGAGTACTTATTGTTAAGGCCTATTGATTAAGCCATTAATCACTTTAGCCAGTATTACAAGCGTAATTATCAATTGTTAAAAAATATATATACTATTAAATTGTGGTAAGTAAAATTTAGGTTATTTTTAAATTTAGTAAATTGCACTGTTAACATACTAAATGATGCATTTTGATTTGAGGCAGTATTTAGACGTTATTGGTAATAGGTTTAAATTTACTCTTTTTGAGGAGTGAGAGGATAACAAGTGTCTATGGAAGTTTTAATACAGTATTAGCTGAAATCAACAAATAATAAGAAACGTTGAACATCAGTGTAAATTTCTGTAAGTTTTACGGCTATTCATCGAATTTTCGGTTATTTAATTTTAGTTGTATTATACAGACACCAGTTAAATTATTATAAACACCATTATTGTAAAGGCCTTTTCATGTGTATTGAGATTCAAATATTTGATCTGTACACACATTCTTAACTAGTTCATTAACTATCTTACTAATAGCTCAATTTAAATTAAATTTTTTTTTATTGTTTCATTGATACATTGATAAAAGCAGAAAAAGTGTCGCAATATTTTTAGCTTCGATGCGTAGGTTAATGGTTTTAGTATGATGAGAGTTTTTTTTAGTCTGTACCCCCTCTTACTATTATAATACTCGAAAATTTTCTTGGAGTAGCAACTTTATAAATCATAAATTTTATCTTGTCGGTACTTTGGAAGGGGTAAAAGTTGAAAAAGTTCACTCCTTCACCTTTAGAATCAGGGAAAACCCTCCAAAAAAACCTATATGAATTTTCAATTTTCAACTTTACTAGCTATAATTTCAAAAAAAATTACTCAGATAAAATTAAAATAATTGTACCTAATATGTTATTTTTACACGTTATTTTATTACAAATTTAATATATTTTGTTTTTGAATACTCAAAGTGACAGTTGAAAAATAAATATATGTTTTCAAAAAAATCCTAAATTGTATGTGTGTGCGACAATATTGTCAACCTATGATTTATTATTAATATTCACACTAATATTTAAAAAAAACAAATCATTATGTTACAACTATTTATTTTAAGTATAAAGTATAACATTCAATTCGATGTTAAAAAAAAAAGTAACCAGTCTTTCATCCTGAATTTTGCTGTAGAAAAAGGGTATTCTAAAGAGTTTATATTTAATAGTTATTTTGCATTCACCTTTTCAAATAACATAATATTTCTCTTAGATTTTTTTTGTTGTAATTAAAATAAAATAAGTAGGCAATATATTTGTTTTTAAAGAAAATCAATATAAATAACTTTAAAACACTGTAAAAACACGACAAATACATTGTAATGAAAATAATGTGCTCAAAATTGTATTTTTACTATTAGGGAGCTTACTGTTGGGGTTGATTGATGGTGTTTTTTTTATTTTTAAAGAGGAGGTGATGATATATTTAAACTGTTGTGTATTGACTCGATAAAACACCCTTCAGGTACGATTTCTGATTTATAGACTTGCTACATATTAAGCTCTGTTCCCACTATGCCCCGCCCTCGTTGTACTATTTTTTTTTCATTTATTAAAAATATAAATAATTGACTACTAGGTAAATCATGTTATTCCATCAAAAATAATTGACCATTTTTGGTTTTTTTAAATGTATAATAATTATGGCGATTTAATAATGATATCCCAACGGGAAACATGACATTTTATAGCTGTATATATATTTTCAAATGTAAACATTTAACATCTGCTGTTATAGCAGGTATGTAAAACATTAACAAATGCAAAATTTAACGTACATCATTCATTGTTACACGATGGTCACAACACTCAAAAAGTACGGGGATTGATTATAAATTATTTCTAAAAAAATGTACACCGATGTTTGTTAAAAGCCGGGCAGAAGAAATTAGACACGTATTATATTATAAATTGCGTCATTGTCAAGAACAAAACAAAAAATAAATATGTTTTTTTTTGTTAAAAGTTTTTATTTTAATTATATTAGCCAATTAATAATGATAAAATGGAATTTTACATTATACAATTTTAAAAATATATTAAACGAATGACTGTTGTGGCTTTGTTGGCAAATGAGGTGTTTCAAGTTCTGTGCCGATTGGATTTTCACATAATATGCTGAACAGATATTTCGTTGTGTACTATGAATTCGTTGCTATACTATTGTTGCGTTTCTTTACGGGTTATACATGATACGGGTCGTTTTTGAATCCGAATCGTACTCAAAACCGAGAGAGGAATAGTCGAAACCGACTAGATTGTCGTCGACGGTTGAATTCACCATTAGTTGTATATTATCCACTATGTAGAGGGCCGGAAAGTATCTGTCTAAATCCCGTAGAGATTTCGTAGCTTCGGAAAGACCATGGTTTTCTACTTTATACAAATTCGGCTTGCAAAATCCAAAATAGAATTCAACCAAGCGTTTTATGGCGATTATCAAATTTTCTAAGATAGAATTCAATGTTGCGACGTGGTATTCTTTTACGAGCGATTCCCTGTCGAAATCCAAGTTATCGTAGTAACTCTTGAAATGTTCCATGGCTGTGGACACCTCTTTGCAGAACGACGTGCCTGGGAATAGTTGGTAAATACACAAAAGCGTAGCTTGCATACGCACCACCATTTGATCGATTTTTCTGATCATGTCCACAACAATGCCGACACATTTTAACGATTCGGAGAGATCGTCAATTCTTTTACACCGGATGATTGCGTTAATGTTGTAATCGTAACACTTTTCTAGTAAGTAGGCATACTCGCAGCTAAACAACTGATTTACTAGGCGAATTTTAGAAATCGCATTTTCTTTAGTGACCGTTTGGCCATTTGGGTCGGTTGTTAGTACAACAGCCGCAGTCCCCAATAGTTCGACGCCGTCCCTCCTTCGCACGACTATCTTGATACCACTGCCTCTCGACCAGTTCATCCAACCGGGATGTGTGAAAATATGATTCAAAACGTTAACTTGGTATGTGGTCACCTCGTCTGCTGTTAAAGCGTGTACGTAAAGCGTTAACAAATACAAAATATGACGTACGACTGTCATTGTTACACGATGACCACAACACTTACAAAATACCGGTATCGACAATAAATGTTTTAGAAAATTGTACACCGATGTTTCTTAAAAGTCGGGCATAAAAAAAAAGACACGTATAAAGTTCTTATTGGGTAAGTATAAACCTTGAAAATCCTGTGTAAGGTAAACCACGGCGTAAAACTAAAGTTAATTTTTTTTTTTTTAATTTAGAAATCGTAGTCGCCGCGTATGAAATATTTGTTCAGGTGTTTCTTCGAAGTCAAAATAAAATTATATAGCTTGCGTACGAGTCCGCAACACTAGGGGATACATTTTTATGTATCTAAGGTGGCTAGTAAACATATCCAGTTTCTGGCTAATATTTTAGTGTTTTCATAATATCTGGCCCAAAACCGTTCATAGAGTATTTGGCCCCTTCAATTATTGAATTTGTTATTCTTTTCTATTTTGAACGTTGTGAATACAACATATATGTGCCCATAGCGAATACATGAAAATGTCAAAAACACAAAGCCGTAAATTGTAAGTATTGGTATCTAAGAAGAATACTATTTTATCTGATTATAAAATGTATATAAAAAAGCATTGCAATGATAGTAATGTGCTTGAAATTATATTTTGAATATTAGAGTGGTTTGGATGTACAACAAGCACGTTTGGTATTATTTTTTTATTTGTTTATTTTATTGAATATTTACATCTATATAATTATGCACAACAGTAAATTAGTAAACAGTAACAAGTGAATAACATAACATGAAGTAGGGAGGCACCCAATGGAACTACCTACTTTGATTTTTGAGTGTTAGTTTATTTATAGGAGGCCTCTGCACCATTTCCTTTTTAATCTTCTTGGCGGATTATCTGGGATATGATTAGAAGAGAGGTAGTTTATGTTAGGGTTAGGGTGATAGTTGAATTTTTTATAAAGTTTTTGGTAGGCAGTTTTGGCGATCTTGTTCACATAATTAATTTGGAGATCACAATGAAGGGTTTTATTTGAAATATAGTGTGCGTAGGCAAATAAATTGAAATGACTGGATTTTTTGGATGTTGGATGAAGCGGCTCAGCCCCAGATTTGGGTACCGTAATACCATAGGGGAAAGAGAAGAGTTTTGTAGATGAGTGTTTTGAGTTAAAGATTAAGTTTGGAACGTAAGAAAGGGCGAAGTAGATGAAGTCTGGTGTTTAATTGTTTTCTTTTTTCAGAACCTAACCTAACCTGCAGGGATCTCAAGAAGCACCATACACAAATTTTGAGGGTTCTGTGCATAATGGAAACTTTTAAGACAGAGTAAATTTCAAAGTTATAAGTGTTTTTATTATTAATTTAGATTAAACATGTAAGGACAGGCCATTGGGGTATACAATACAATTTTTTTTTTTGGATAACGAAAAAAAAGAATCTGAAAAAAGATCTGGAAAAAATATATATATGCAGTGATTACGATTCACGGGCTTAAAATTGCAATTATAACCCATTTTTAACGGCCTTGTTTACCACACGTGGTTTATTAAGCTTATGGGCTGACCCAATCATCTTGTAACAATTAAAGCTCAACGTTATATTTTGTGTTTTTAACGCCTTACGTGCATACTTTAACAGCCGAAATAGATCCGTCGTGCCGCGTTAACGCTATGAATTATATTTTGCCACAGCCCGGTTGGCCAGACTTGGCGTATCACGGTGGTTTTCAGATAAGCGACAGATGGAAGATACCGTGGAAAAACGTTTTGTCTCGTGTGATTTACTGGCATCCGGCAGGAATTGCAGAATAGGCCACTGACGATAACGTGGAGTGTAAAACTCGTCAAGCACATCAAA